GGACACCATATCTCAAAAGTGGGTCAAAATACTTTCTGACGGCAAAAGGCTAACACTATTAGCACACTCTTTGCTACCTGTATACAAAATTTTGAAGTAAATTATTAAAGTGTAGTGTCAGAATCGTAAAAATAAGGAAAAACTATGAATTTGACCTTGATTTTGACCTAGGCATTTTGGTGTCCAAATTTTGAAGCTATGTAGCTTTTGAGGTCCCCTTCTTTTATAAGCATTCATTATGTTAAGCTGTACTCAGTCAATATCCTGTATTTTACACTTCGAAAAAGTCTTTTTTCCCATTGACTTAACATAGGCACCAAATTTAGCGATTTTTGAGCTTTCAAAACGCCATAACTTCCGAACCGGAAGTCCGATCCAAATTTGGTTTGCAGATTTGGATTCCTGAGAAAATTCTACCTCTTTTTCATAGCTCACACATTCGATTTGGAGCATGTTTAGGCGTGACCTACATTTCGGACGCCATATCTCAAAATCGGTAAGAGTAATCAAAATTCTGATGTCATATCTTTGATTCGCCTTTTTCTAAGCTACACGATGAAAAAAAGATGGAGGAGTTACGAAAAATATTGACGAAGATATGATGAAGAATGTTGAAAATGTAAGATTTGACCTAGTTCTTGACCTTTGACCTAGATAAAAATTTGACCTAATTTCCCAGAAAGCCGGTTTCAGTCTTTAGTTAACCATGTAAGTTGGATTAAGTAAGCTGTTATAGTTGACGAGAAATTTGGCGAGGAGGAAGAAAAAAGAAAGAAAAATAATAATAATAATAATAATAATAAAGAAAACAGGCAAAAACAATAGACTCCAGATTTTCAATCTGGAGTCTAATAAGAAAACAGGCAAAAACAATAGACTCCAGATTTTCAATCTGGAGTCTAATAACGTTAACAGTAAGATGACTGATTATTTTTTGAATAGCAACAAAATCATTGATAATACGGAGAGGTAATTCGAATCTACTTACAACAAACTCAGGTCTATTTATTCAATATTTATCTGAAATGATAAATGCTTTTTATCGCTGGAAAATCCCCCATGAGTTCCTTTTTCTGAAACGAAATAAATCGTATTGCAATCAATTTACTGTTTATCAATGTGTTCTTTCACACTGAACTTCGGAGCTCAAGTTAATTTAGAGTTTTCTGTCTATTAGCGCTAGTTGAGTACAATTGTGTCTGAAACTGGATTGTGGAACACTTAACCCCTTATATTTAAAGGGTTTTATAGTTAATTTGGGATTCGGATCCTGAGTTATTTCCATTTATTCATATATCATAGGAATACCAAAATGAACGTCAACATTCTTCATCCATGAATAGCAGCAATTATTTCCACAGTGGTCTTTGTCATGTATGTCTTGGGAGTAATGTTCTTCATTAGAGCCAGGCATCAGGCAGGTGGGTGTCTCGCCAAAGTGTTCCAGAAACTTATTTATTCATATTCTTTTTCCCAATTATAACTGTGAACACGATGTCTTATGATAATGTTCTTGCGCTTTAACTCAAATTCACCTCGCCAAATAAAATTTGCCTCACCAGATTTAGATCCTGGCTACGCCCCTGCAGATTGTAATGATTTGGCCTTTGTTTATCAAGGATAAATCACAAGCTTTATAATATAAATCGCCTACTCCCCCCTCCATCCATTTTGTACGATCACCGGGCGTTAGAGAGGGAGATGTTATTGGTCAAAATTATGAAGTTTATTCTGATTGAATTATGGGGGGGGGGGGGGTGTAAAACATCTGACTTTACGAGTCTTATTAAAATGAACTTTTATGTTGAAAGAAAGATGGCACTCTGGTGGAAATCTCTACATCTTGATTATACTGGATTGTCTCATGAAAGAGGATAATATCACCTTAAAGGCCCACTATACTTAATTTAGAAGAAAAAAGATAATCGTTGAAACATGTTACTCACACACTCGCTCAAATATGACACAAAGTTTGATTTGCTTTAATATTGAACCAATTATAAAAAACAACTCACATAGAAAAAAGTGTTTGAAGTTCAGAGATCACTAGATATACTTGCACATGTTAAACAAAGTGCATGTTTTAAATTAGTAATACTGTTGTTGGCAACGCTTCTATAGAAATGAATATATCATGTAATAGAAACAACTTTGCCATCTTTCAATGACATTGTTAAAAACTTGATATATAAAGCTTGACAGATCGAAAATATTTTTTAATAATTTATTGTAAGCTTAATGTGGTCCGTTTGAGCTGATCATCGGTTGGTGTCAAATGAAAGATAAGGTTCTTATCAATACATTGGACATACTATGAAATTCAAATGTAAGTCTTTATTTCAAAAACGTTGAAAATACACAAAGTGGACCTTTAAGAAATATAACATGACAAAAGTGTTAAATAAAGATACATATTTACAGGTGATATAAAACATAACAATCACAACAGTAACAATTAGTTCCACTCTGAGCATTCAAATTCTGTTCTATGAGAGATTTCTGTAAACAAAGTGACTAGCACTGACTAACAAGTGACTAACAGGGGCTAGAGTGAGATGTAAAGATAATTTTGGGCAACTTTTTGGCCGGAGCATATACTTTCCGAGGTAACTTTCATGCCAAAACTCTTAATATCAAAATCCGATAAACATATATAAATTCGGAATACTGCAAATTCGATCGATAAGACAGGAACATTTTCCAATACATCCTTCCAAAATGAAATCTTAGCCAGACACACAAACCTCTCTACTGAGAAAAACCTTACGCCGAATTACTATGCCATCCTTGCTGCAAGGGTATTTTACAAGTATATAAATTTGAGCATAAATGAAGCCCTTTGAAGAAGGATGTACTATGCTAACTAACGAATAAGTATTTCTACCTAATAGTGATACCAAAATATGATTAACATAAATAAGCTTGTTAAAGAAGCTGTGATTAAAGTAAATTGCTTATAATTAATGCTAATTTCTGGATCATCTTGGGACTAAATCCTCTTTAGTCTGCACTATTTGCACTTAATATCAATACGCCACCACTGCCGATGAAAAGTATGTATGTGGATACTGGCATTCTTCTTAGAGAGGGGATATCAGCTGAATGCATATAAACATACAACTTATAAACACTTAAATTTAAAATCTAATTAAATATAGAGATAAATACAGTAACAGTCCAACAAATAATAATTCAAGAGAAATGATGGTTATAGCCCTAAGTTTGTATGAATTTGGTGGGGGTTGTCACCAAAGTCAGTGGAAAACGTCCGAACTCCCGTGCAGTGATATATGTCTATACCGAGACACTGCATTGGAGTTCGGAAAACGTCATATTAGTTCATCAGAGAGCACAGGCAATGGAACATAGAAATAATCCCCCCCCCCCACTCTCTATATATAAGTAAAATAATTTATATTTTACTTATATATAGAGAGTGGGGGGGGGATTTAGGCTTTTTAAGCAATACAAGTACTTCAGTTAAGATTTTACCCATCATTTTTCAGATTTTTTTCAATGGATTACCATAGTGACACCTTAGGTAGAAAGCAACTTACTTTTTCACCCATTAGAATACATGTAAAATTGGCAAAGTTCAAATCATAATTTCTCAAATCCCAGCCCATCGAATCCTCACATCCATTCAGATCATGTAGTCCTATTCAAAAACTTCCCGTTCGGTTATATGGTGAAAAAAATATCCCACGAACGAAAAAAGATTGAGTCGGGACAATCTGCGCGAGATTCGGTTTTTACTTGGTTCGGTTTTTCATTAAAGGAAGTATTTCATTCCCATGATTCAAAGTGCTTTTCTGCCATCGGTTCGGTTTAAGTTTGTACAACACATGTCTACAAATCCGGGGCAGGTTAATATTATGTCATTACATTTGTTTTGGATGTATACTTTTTGTTTTGACACTAATCAAAAAATTTCCCACAATATATGGTGCATTATGGGTAGGGACTGCTGTGAAATAATGAACGTAAGTGACATCTATCTCAAATTAAATGTTATTATTAAGTTATTCATCGCGCATGCGTGATAATAATTTGAACCAATTAAATTGCTGGATTTAATGCACATGCGCCAAAAACCGAACCAAAAAATGGAATCTCGCGCAGATTGCCTCTAGTGAAAAGATTTTGCTACATTTATAAGCGAGCATTGATTTCTGGGCCTGTAAAAAGCACGTAGGACCTGATTACCCCATTGATTTACTGAGACCGCCAAAAATATAATTCAATTTTTGGGTTCAAAATAATAATCTGTCAGCGGTCCCTGACACTCCTACTAGCTATCACCAAACATTAATTGCCAATACATGTACACATATACGTGCCATACATCTACAAAGTAGCGAACTAGTGTATTAAGTACTACTTTTCCTATACGATGAGCAAAACAAATCTCAAGTAGGTTATATTGACCCTTAGTCTAAGGTTTAAAAAAGTGCAAGGAGGATTGGCTCCCAGAATCGAAGTCGATATTTTCCAACAATGAAAACGCCGAAATGTCGTTATTTTCTGAAATTAAAACCGATTATAAATTCAAAATAAACAGTTCAAAATATTCGAACCAATATCTCGATCATTTCTTGTGAGTTTTGGAATTTTTCGTTAGGAAATAAGACCAAAATTCACGATTCAAATGTTGAAGTGAACAAAATGGCGGTCGTTCAAGGAGGATTGGCTCCCAGAATGCAACACCGATATTCTGCAAAACAATCACCTAGCGATAGCTTTGTTGGAGAGTATCGGGTCATTCTCCATGCAGTCGTACAAATTATACAGACACGAATAGCAAATGACGCATGCGTGGAGATTAAAGAATATCGAGTTGGAACCCTGGCTTCCAATCCTCCTTGGCGGTCGTTGGAATTCAAATTTTGTAGCACGACATGCCCATATATGGGGCAGAATATCGATGTTGCACTCTGGGAGCCAATCCTCCTTGAAAAAGTGGAAACATACCTCGCTGACTTCCGGTTTAAAAAAGTCATGTGACAGGCGCCATCTTTAAACATCTAAAATGGACTGGCGACTTTTTAATATTGTTTTCCTCGGTCTCTCATTCATGCTGATATTCACAGCGTTCCAAACATGTGGAATGATTGAGGTAATATTTCATTTTTAAAATATATTGTGCCTGGCAGTAGATCTATTTGGTTTTATTTATCATGCGAGGTGTCATAAGTGAGTGTTTACTTTTTCGAATCGAAAACAATATTTTTACAGGTCATTCAGATCTCAGATTCAGACTAAATATTAGATGAGATGCACCTTTGGGGTCTTTATTTATAAATCTGATATAGAAGGTGACCCTGATGTAAGTCAAAACTCCAATAGTCCAACTCATCAGAGCCGGGGCATCCCGTCTGATAAATACTAACTTTGACCATGGGCTTTCAACCAAAAGGGTAGGCAACTTCCCATATTTCATACATAAACATTGCCATGGGTTTTCAAAATTGGAGAATGTACACATTCCAAGAAAATCTTATTTTGTACTTTTTATTGATGATTAAAAGAAATAACTCAAAAATAAAAACATGATCTTCTACATACATCTTGATAATTTAATAAAAATTGGAATTCATCATAATTATGACAATACAGAAAGTGAACATTCTCCCACAAATTATGTTTTTATTGGAATGTGTTCTTGAATAATTACCCACAATGCAATACTCAAGAGAACATCTTGATAACTCTTATTCTTATTGGTCTCTTTTGTTTACTTTTATATGATATTGAATATATTTTATGCTTCAATCATATCAAAAAATTAATTTTTATTCAAAATAATACTAAAACATATACATTTATCTAATACTTTTTGAAATATTGCCATAAAAGGGAAGCATGTCATTGCTCATTTTGAAGGTCTCATGTTATTACATAGAGTTGCATACCCTTCTAGTTGAAAGCCCATGCTTTGACTCGCAGATATTGAATTCAGTTAGTGTTGGACTATTACCGGAAGTTGACACCACCTCCTATTGCTGGCCGGGTCACGGGAAGTTGTATCAAGTCCCTTTTGTTCCTCTTCGGGTTGGTCATAGCCAGGGGATCACTGTCAACAGTTTAAACGATACAATCATTTACTGATTACAACATCACTGCAGGTTTTGCATTGAGTTTTGTCTCGTCACTTTTCATTTTGCCTCAGGTTATTTTAGACACTTTCTAAATAGCATTCATTCCAGTTTGCATATACATTTTCAGATCTGTTCCTTACTCGAGTCTCTAGCTAAATTACTTGGATTGAAGACATGGCATGTGGACCACCGTGCACTTGTGAAAATGTTTATTCTGGAGCAAAAATGTTTTTAGATGTTATTCTAAAAATCGTAATGAGAATATTTCATCAATTAGTAAATCAGGAAGAAATGAATTAAGTAATACTAGAAACGAATTCAACAAACTTTTCTTTTAATTCAGAATCCTTTCCAAGTTAAAGGGAATTTTGAAAAATTAGAGATTCAATTTTTTCTTGTCCATTGAGTGGGGTCCACAGGTTGTACTGTTCGAGTCTGAAACTGAAATACTGAATTCAGTGACTTACTTTGTTCCTAACATTAGTGGCCTTTTCTGATGAAACTATGGAAGGTTTCGGATGCCACTGTGCTGATTCAGACTTCTGTTAAACGATTGAGATGGAAATTTTCTTTGAGAAATTAAAATGGATGTTTTAACGAAAAAAATGAATCGTCCGAAGATTTCCGAATGATGCCAACAAAGCTAGTGCCATTTTAATTTCTCAGAGAAAAGTTCCACCTTGGCCGATAAAAAGAAGTCTTTATCGACAAAGTACTAGCGCTCCAATACTTGCCCAGATGGATGCCACTGATGTAGAACACAGCTAATAGGTAGCGATCTGAGGCACTTCGATCAGGGTGTTGTCGGGACAATTTCTCTTGTGACTTAGGTTATGTATTTAGGTCTATCTCAACAGATTTTACTGGTCTTACGCGCCGCAAATGGTGCGAAAGATGTTAAAATTGCATTTTCGACCCTAAAATTCAGATTTCTTGGGGGTACATTATTATTTAGCTATAAAACAAAAACTAAACAACCAATGCTTCTTTCTTTTGGTGTTTCTGTTAAGAGTAATCATACTTGAAATGCATATGTAAAAAAATTGAAGAATTTTAACTTTATTTAAAAACAGCAACATTTTTTCACCCTAAAATCATAGAATTTAGGGGGGTTGAGAGACATTGATTGGAATTGATTTTTTGATTTCTCAATCAATCTCAGTTTAATATTAATGGAACTTTCCTAAAAGTAGCACCAACATGTCCCCAACACATTACCATAAAGAAAAAACTCAAACTCTAACATGTTTTTTGCCTATATGGGTCAATTTACCTCTCCCCTCTTTCCCTTTTTAGAAGGGCGTGGCCATATTGGCATGTTCATCTAAAAATAAATACTTCATGTTCATATCCATCCTCCGATCACAGGGCTTCAAAATCCAGAACATATTCTTTCTTTTTACCCCCAGCAATAAGCAGTTACCATTTCCCCGATTAAGAACTCGCAATCTGATTGGCTGTCGCAACACTGCGACAGAAATCATGTATACATCATTGTGCATAATTAGATCAAGTGATTCAGTTAAATCAGGCGGGTCCAAATTGGTTATCGCAGGGGGAAGGAGGTACGGATTCTGGACACCTGCTTAGGAGGATGGTTCATATCATGTTATCATTTTTATGTCACCAACAAAAAGTGGTCGGCGGTTTGTGGTTGGAGCTTGGCAATAGACTAGATGCGAGTAAAAATAATTTTGATTTACGTCATTAAATATTCAAAATTCAAAGTGATGTCATATTTGAAATCTACATGTAAAAGTACATCTAGAAATATGGTTTCGAAAATTGTTTATCAACTTTGAAAATTTAATTTTTTTTGAAAATGTGACTTCTAGTTGGGTTTGATTCCCCATAGACCCCATGTTACAAAATCACAAAAAGTGAAATATCTTTTCTTGTATTGAACAGATAACATTTTCTTTTACTGGACATATTTTAATTTACATAACAGTTAGATACATAAGGGTTATATGAAAATTGAACCACTAAAACAGATGTAATTTAGGTTAGAGGGAACATTCTACTATACCCGCCATGCTATCTGACCCGAACGAGCCACCTGGTGGTGAAACTGGTAACTACTTACTCGCATCTGCGTTATTGGTGTCTGAAACAAATTCTTACAATTTCAAATAATTAACAAATACTTTATAGACTGACTTCAATTGTTTTCAAAATTATCTACGTGTTTTCAGATGTTCAAACCTGACTTTATATTTAAGATTTGACCTTCAGTGACCTTTTCAAGGTCAGAAAAAGTCTTTTTTCAACTTGCTTCAAATTAACCATTTTTTCAAAATCATCTATAATTTATCAGAAGTTCAAATCTGACTTAAGGTTTGAGATTTGACCTTCAATGACCTTTTTAAGATTTAAGAATATAGATTTTATCATTAAATGACATTCTAAAGGTCAAAATAGATTTGACCTTTAGTGACCTCCTCAAGGTCAAAAAGGTATTTTTTATCTTGTTTCAACTAGGTGGTGACATTTTGTCATGTTAATGCCTTGTTTTACTTGTAGCTAGTGAATGTCTTTGAAATGACATAAGCCTAATACAGTGGGACCTGGGTTAGTGGACACCTTTCTCTAGTGAACACCTGTGTAAAATGAACACCCTATTTTCAGCACATACCTTGATTCCAATACAAATTGTCTTTCTATATTGAAATCTTTTTTGTGGCTCTATAGATGTTCACTGTACACAGGTTTTACTTTATACAAAACACCTTTATATTTAACTTTAATTAATAAACTGATTATCTAATTGCAATTATAAATTGCTATCTATTATTTGCAGGGAACATGTTGCAAAACAATAAGGGAGAATAGTAAGCTATTCAAGGCTTATAACTGTCTGATGTTCTATTATTAACTAATTTGATTGATTCAATTGATGGCTTTCTCAATCCATTCCAAATTGAGGACAATGATCATTTATACTGCATATCATCTGGAATGCCAACACCCTCTAATTTAGCAGATGATCTCTTAAATGCAGCATCCAAGGGCACACAAGCCTTTAAGCAATTTATTCAAGACCAATTTGTGCAGAAGGGAAAAAGTTTTCATAACCCCATAAAAGAATGAAACTGAAAACATCTGAATTCAATGCTGGAGTCAAAAAGGTGAAAAGCTCTGGAAACAAACTGATTGAGATTAGAGCTGAGCGCAATACATTTGGCCAGTTAGTCATGTTATCAGAGCAGCATAGTATCAGTCTAAAGCGAATATTAGAATATCCCCTGAGTCCAATACCCTGGGCTCTTGGAACACCTGATGGGCTCTTGGTTAAAACAGAAAAGTCAAAATTATTACATGAGCTGGAAACATATAATATTACATGGACCCAAACCAGAAAAAAACAATTATAGTCTATGATGGCAATGCATTGTTCCATATACTTCCTGAGCGACCCAAAACATTTGGATTATTGGCAGAGAGGATCCTTCAGATGCTTCCTATAAGAAAGATTCAATTAAAGAACCAGAAAGAATACGCAGGCGTGTCTCCAAAAAGCTAATAATAAAAGGACCTAATACCAGAATTCCTAACAATTGGAAGGAATTCCTTTTAAATGATGAGAATGAAATGCAGCTGAGTCAGTTGATCCTTGAAGAATGGAAAAAGATAAAAATGCTCCTAAACTCAAAGAAAGACAGATTCATGTGAGATCTGTACAGTGGTAACCAGTGATAGAACTACTGTTACACATACAGTTGAATCAAGCCTGAAATCTTCCCACAAAGAGGCAGATACAAAAATTATACTCCATGCAATTAACATGAAATGAACCTGAAAATACAGAAAAAACTATAGTTGTGAGATCCCCAGATAGCGATGTTTTTGTACTTCTTGTGCACTTTCCAATCTTATTCAAACTCCATTAATTTTTGACACTGGTAGTGCAGACCACATATGACTTATTAAAGGTGCAACAATTAGTGCACGGGGGTAATTCAACGATCATCGACCAGTGTCAAAATATATTCAAGTTTGGATATTTCATCAAGAGTAACATATATTTTTATTATCTACAAAGAAACCCCCTTGATGAACATTATTTCAGCTGATATTCCTCTTGAAACGTGGTGAATCTTAAAAATCTATAAGTCGGACTCCCTTTATAGAAGCTTTGAACTGAATATACACTTCTAAATTGAGAGTTTATCTATACATTTTAAGAAAATAGATATGTCAAAGAAGATGCTAAGCCAAATATTGACCTGATAGCTCAGAAAAAAAGAAAAAAAATTGAATTTTCTCTCTACAGTCCCTTGTTGCCCCTTTAATGTAAAGGAAGTAGGAAATGCGCTCAGTTCAGACATTTGTAATGCTTTACCAGCCTTCCATTCATTCACTGGATGCGATTCCTTCAGTGCCTTTGTGAGAAAGGAGAAAGTGTCCCCCCCCTAAAATTACTTATGAGAATTTCAAAAAGGTTTCGGCACCATTGGAGGGGTCATTAGTGATCAAACTGCTAAATGTGCTGAGAAGTTTACTTGCCAGATGTATGGAAACAAAAAGTGTTCAAATATTAATGAGCTGACATATACCTTATTCAAGAACAAATTTCAACCAAAATCTGCTCCAAGTGTGATAACAAGCTATGAAGGCACTAACAATAAGCCTCCTACCCCCATGTAAAGATTCATTACAGCAGCATCTGGCAAGGGCCAGTTATCAAGCACACATATGGAAACTTGCCAACATCCCCTCCCCATCAATTCCCTCCCCCGTGTCACATGGATGGAGGATGAAAGATGGCCATTTGGATTTCAATGGGTGTCAAATCCAGATAAAATTCTACCCCAGGACCTGGAAGATGTTATCGTATTAGATGATACTTTAGAAGATCAAAATGAAGAGGAAGTTTATGAAATACAAAGCTTTATGGATCAAATATATTCTGGTGAATAAAAACTACATTTGTGATGACAGAAATTCATACAATGAGTAAAATTAATATTATGACTGAGTCGTGAACTGTGTATTAGATAATATTCAACTTCAGATTTTCAATATTCTTATATCTCGAGCCTACATAGAAAAAATATTGTATTATAAATAATTCACAGGTATGTACTATATGTATACACCTAAGTAAAAATATTTTATGGTAATATATTTGATAAAATACATGATATGTACATGTATTCATTTAATGTGCCATCATGCTACTGTTTAAATCCACATGTATTAATGGCCACACCCCTTTTATAAGGGAAAGAGGGGAGAGGTAAATTGACCCATATAGGCAAAAAACATGTTAGAGTTTGAGTTTTTTCTTTATGGTAATGTGTTGGGGACATGTTGGTGCTACTTTTAGGAAAGTTCCATTAATATTAAACTGAGATTGATTGAGAAATCAAAAAATCAATTCCAATCAATGTCTCTCAACCCCCCTAAATTCTTTTAGGGTGAAAAAATGTTGCTGTTTTTAAATAAAGTTAAAATTCTTCAATTTTTTTACATATGCATTTCAAGTATGATTACTCTTAACAGAAACACCAAAAGAAAGAAGCATTGGTTGTTTAGTTTTTGTTTTATAGCTAAATAATAATGTACCCCCAAGAAATCTGAATTTTAGGGTCGAAAATGCAATTTTAACATCTTTCGCACCATTTGCGGCGCATAAGACCAGTAAAATCTGTTGAGATAGACCTAAATACATAACCTAAGTCACAAGAGAAATTGTCCCGACAACACCCTGATCGAAGTGCCTCAGATCGCTACCTATAAAGACCAAAAATAAGAGGCTGATCACATTAATTTGTGTTTTAAAGGTCTTAAAGGTTTTATGCTCAGCATAAAATGGGACATCACTTTTTATGCCGGGCATAAAAAGTGATATGAAATAATTATTTTTTTAAAAACCAACGAAGCAAGAACTGTTCATAATTCATATTATGCAATCCCATATTTGCATCCTCCTAAGCAGGTGTCCAGAATCCGTACCTCCTTCTTCCCCCCTGCTATAAGCAGTTAGCATTTCCCCGATTAAGAACTCGCAATTTGATTGGCTGTCGCAACACTGCGACAGCAATCATGTATACGTCATCGGCGCATAATTAGATCACGTGATTCAGTTTAATCGGGCGCGTCCAACTTCATACTAACTTGGTTATAGCAGGAGGTAAAAAGAAAGAAGATATTCTGGATTTTGAAGCCCTGTGATCGGAGGATGCATATTTGGCCCTCATCATGTTTTATTTATATCAAGGATATCTTTTGTTCAATACCTGTTTCTATGGCAATGGCATCTGTTATCAAACATGTAACTGATCAATTATTTTTCAAATTAGCATATCACTTAATATGTAACCGGATGTTATTTTAGTTGGAAAAATTACCAAAATTTCCATGGGGGTCAATCGACTTTGAAAGTCCATTCATTTTATTTTTTTCCCACTGAGGAAATATAAAATCAGCTAACATTTTAGCACTCTTCCAGTCGTGCATGATTATTTGAGTGATCCATGTGACAATTAATTGTATATTTCTGTATGTAGAGTGCATGATTATTTGAGTGATCCACGTGACAATTAATTGTATATTTCTGTATGTAGAGTTCATGATTATTTGAGTGATCCACGTGACAATTAATTGTATATTTCTGTATGTTGAGTGCATGATTATTTGAGTGATCCACGTGACAATTAATTGTATATTTCTGTATGTAGAGTGCATGATTATTTGAGTGATCGACGTGACAATTAATTGTATATTTCTGTATGTAGAGTGCATGATTATTTGAGTGATCCACATGACAATTAATTGTATATTTCTGTATGTTGAGTGCATGATTATTTGAGTGATCCACGTGGCAATTAATTGTATATTTCTGTATGTAGAATGCATGATTATTTGAGTGATCCATGTGACAATTAATTGTATATTTCTGTATGTAGAGTGCATGATTATTTGAGTGATCGACGTGACAATTAATTGTATATTTCTGTATGTAGAGTGCATGATTATTTGAGTGATCCACGTGACAATTAATTGTATATTTCTGTATGTAGAATGCATGATTATTTGAGTGATCCATGTGACAATTAATTGTATATTTCTGTATGTAGAGTGCATGATTATTTGAGTGATCCACGTGACAATTAATTGAATATTTCTGTATGTAGAGTGCATGATTATTTGAGTGATCCACGTGACAATTAATTGAATATTTCTGTATGTAGAGTGCATGATTATTTGAGTGATCCACATGACAATTAATTGAATATTTCTGTATGTTGTTCTTGCAGCAACGTGTAGTTGATGGAGCAAAGAAGGAACCAAACTCAACATTCACTGGAGATGGTTACACAAGGTAACTATAATACCCCCCCCCCCCTCTTCAATAGTTTTATTTGGCTTGCTTAAAAGAGAGCTTCGTCTCTGAGTTAGAGATAATCCTTTGTTCAAGGTTCAAGATGGAGAAGCATTGATGATTATGTTCACAGGACATTATCAAAAAAGGGATGTACATTACAATTCCACTTTTACAGATCTTCACATATTTACCCTGATTTTATTGTTTAGTCTGCACAACCCTTTTACTCTGACTTGGATGATTTTGGGATAAAGGATCAATGTTTTGGTTAATATTGTTTTTAGGGTGTGCATTTCTTCAATTCAAATAATTACACATTGTCACATTTTATAAATGTTAATGAATGCGCTTTCATATTTCGAAGAATCAGTATATTATGTGATATTTGATTCTTGGAATTTTTTATTTTAGTTTAGCAATAATTTACCTCACATTTGCTGGGGCTAACTGGGCAGCGCCATCTATAGTTGCAGTATGTGGACCCAAGATATCCATGGTGATGGGGGGTGCTGCTTATCTGTAAGTATATCATACAAGTATACCCTGTGAGCATCCAAGACATTCTGGCCCCTTAATAAAACTGTCGAACTTGGATCTTCCAAATTATAACTTTTGTGCAAGAATGCTGAGCTATAAGCCATCCAGAAAAGCAAAAATGACACAATACATTTATTTAAAGATGATTGTACTTAAAAGTAATATGATTATCTCCCGCTCAACCATAAAATCCGTAAAATGACCCAACTCAGTAGTCAGTATTGACAAAATTGAGGATTATTATGTCGGGGGCTAATCTAACTCATATGTCATGTATGTGTCTGAAGCTTATTTCATTGGGGTACCATTGACTAAAAGAGAGACCAATCTTATTTTATTTTCAGGTTGTTTATTGTATCTTTTCTGAAGCCGATGACGTGGGCGCTGTATACTGGGTCTGTTCTCATAGGTATCGGAGCAGCAAGTAAGTACACCCTTGGTATACGCAGCTAACGAAAATTGACCGGTACGGGTCAAAAGCTGGACCGGTACGGGTTAACGGTTTTATTTGAATTTAAAATAGCCATAACTTGCTCAATATTGACTTCCTCGTGTCTAATTTGAAATATATGATGCCTCCCGATGCTTTTAAGTACCCCAATTTTTTACAGATTTTTAAACGGACCAAAACTCTCTAAATGCGCATTTATGCTCTTTTCTCTCGAGAATGACTGTCTCATTTTCACGATAACTTTTATTTAGTACTTCTAACATATAAGATCTATTTTTCCCCATCAAGGTATGATGTAAATGACATGCTATTTACATCTTGTGAGTTTCAATGACGTGCGTTTGATTTTATAAAAAATGCCAAACTTTGTGACAAAGAATTTCATTAGCTATTGCCCCGAACCGGTCCGTCTTCTCGTTGCAAGCAGATTGCTCCGAACCGGTCCGTCTTCTCGCTGCAAGCAGGATGAAATTCTTTGTCACAAAATTTGGCATTTTTTATAAAATCAAACACGCGTCATTGAAACTCACAAGATGTAAATAGCATGTCATTAACATCATACCTTGATGGGGAAAAATAGATCTTATATGTTAGAAGTACTAAATAAAAGTTATCGTGAAAATGAGACAGTCGTTCTCGAGAGAAAAGAGCATAAATGCGCATTTAGAGAGTTTTGGTCCGTTTAAAAATCTGTAAAAAATTGGGGTACTTAAAAGCATCGGGAGGCATCATATATTTCAAATTAGACACGAGGAAGTCAATATTGAGCAAGTTATGGCTGTTTTAAATTCAAATAAAACCGTTAACCCGTACCGGTCCAGCTTTTGACCCGTACCGTCAATTCTCGTTAGCTGCGTATACCAAGGGTGAAGTAACCCATTTCACTCTGTGTATTACATAATTCAATGATTGTACGACACTTATTTATACAGAAGTCAGTAGTGTTACGTTGGTCCAACTAACACAAAAAATGTTAATTTGAATTTTAGGCCTACCGGACATTTGAAAATCAAGGATTGTGGGTCTCATACCGGAAGATTTTTCTTCAAATTTGTTCGATACAAAGCAAGACATGAATGCTGTTGATACATTATTCTGTAATACATAGTCCCTCCTTTTGGTGGTGTTTGGGTCCCCAGTTGTAAGAAGCCCTTCTCACAGCTTGAGACCCAAACACCGCTAAAAGGAGAGGTGTTAAAATTCCAATTCTAGGGTTGTTTTGATCAGACAGGTTTTACTGTATTTTGAGATCCAAGATGATTCATTATCATATCTACATTGAAATCTTTTTATTCCAGTTATTTGGACTGCTCAAGGATGTTTCTTGACTCTCAACTCTGATTCTGAAACTATAGCGAGGAATAGTGGTATCTTTTGGGCTCTAATGCAGTGCAGGTAGGCTAAAATAACACTTGACAAATTTGTTACAGTTTGGGTTACTGTAAATTGCTGTAATATTACGGCCCATTTAATTTTGTGATCTCATCGAGCCAATCAGAGTTTGTCTTCGAAATACGGATGTCTATCTGTATGGTCATCTCATCTGACATCACCGCATAGTTAATGCGCACATATTTAGCATGTGTTCTTTCCACTTGATTTATTACCTGGGCTGTTACAGGCCCCAATCTTTGGGGTGGGGCTGCTAAACTGTAATATATTCTATACTAGGCAGAGGGTAGTTTATAACTAGACTGCATGCAAACAAGGTCCAGGTAGTTTTTTACTGAAAGGTCAATCCACCAAATTAGTGACTGTAGCAGCCAAAATGTCAAAGATTACCCAATCAGCTAAATCAAATAGCTGCTAAAATGTATTTGCCCATTCAGCCAAATAAATAATGTCAAATTGAGCGATTTACAGTATATGTACACTCCCCTCCATAAGTTTGGCAACCTTAACTCCCTCATTGAACTACGTGCTAAAGCCTCTTTATGTTTGAATTTTTTATTTACATAACCTATGAAGAAAATATTTATAATATTGATTAATATGGAACTAGACTTCATTTCCAATGCCTCCTTTTCCCAATTCTTTACCTCAATTACAATAGGTAAAAAATTGATGATAAATCCGATGATTTTTTATCGCACTTTGAAAAAGTGCTATATTGTCGTAGTCTTGTGCTGTTGGGCGGGCAGGCGGGCATGCGGGCGGCACATAAACCAAATCTTGTCATCAAATTTCCAGGATAACTGCTTACCTGTTCAACTTGAAATTTTTACAGATGCAAGAGCAGACTAGTACCAAGATCTGATTAGGTTAAGGGCATGCTGGGTAAACTAAGTGGTGGCCATTTTGAATTTTTCAACAAATCTTGTCATCAAAATTCCAGGAAAACCACTTATCCTATCAACTTGAAATTTTTACAGATGCAAGAGCAGACTATTGCCAAGATGTGATTAGGTTTTGGGTATGCTGGCTGCATTACATGGTGGCCATTTTGAATTTTTCAATTTGGCGGCCATTTTGAATTTTTCAACTTGCTCCAAATTGACCAAATTTTTTTTTAAAAAACATCTACAAGTTCTCAGAAGTTCAAATCTGACCTTAGATTTCAGATTTGACCTTTCGTTCACCTTCAGTGACCTTGAAAAGGTCAAAAAAGTTGATTTTCTAAATTGATATTTTGGATTTAAATTTAGGTCATCTTAATTACAAAACACCTACTGAGGTCTGAAAAAGTGAAATTTTCAAGGTCAAAGGTCAAGGTCATTAAACTAGGTCACAGATTTGACCTTTCATTCACCTTCAGTGACCTTGAAAAGGTCAAAAAAATTGATTTTCTAAATTGATATTTTGGATTTAAATTTAGGTCAGCTTAATTACAAAAGACCTACTGAGGTCTGAAAAAGTGAAATTTTCAAGGTCGAAGGTCAAGGTCATTAAACTAGGTCACAAATGATGTTATCTAAGTTTCTCAAAGTTTGAGACTACAAATCAATTCTTGTCATCAAAATTCCAAGAAAACCGCTAACCTGTTCAACTTGAAATTTTTACACATGCAATAGCAGACTAGTGCCAAGATCTGATTAGGTTTAGGGCATGCTGGGTAAACTATGTGGTGGCCATTTTGAATTTTTAACAAATCTTGTCATCAAAATTCCAGGAAAACCACTTATCCGTTCAACTTGAAATTTTTACAGATGCAAGAGCAGACTATTGCCAAGATGTGATTAGGTTTTGGGTTTGCTGGCTGAATTACATGGTGGCCATTTTGAATTTTTCAATTTGGCGGCCATTTTGAATTTTTCAACTTGCTCCAAATTGACCAAATGTTTTTTTTAAAAACATCTTCAAGTTCTCAGAAGTTCAAATCTGACCTTAGATTTCAGATTTGACCTTTCGTTGACCTTCAGTGACCTTGAAAAGGTCAAAAATTTGATTTTCTAAATTGATATTTTGGATTTAAATTTAGGTCAGCTTAATTACAAAAGACCTACTGAGGTCTGAAAAAGTGAAATTTTCAAGGTCGATGGTCATCAAATTAGGTCACAAACAATGTTATCTAAATTTTCCCAAAGTTCAAGACTACAAACAAATTCTTGTCATCAAAATTGCAGGAAAACCGCTAACCTTGTCAACTTGAAATGTTTACAGATGCAAGAGCAGACGAGTGCCAAGGTCTGATTAGGTTTTGGCCATGCTGGGTAAATTGCATGGTGGCCAGTTTGCTCTTCAAAGTGCGATATTTATCACTGTGTGTCTTGTTGAAAATGTAAACCAATGGGAAATGGTAGATTTGCCGCAAGTCATATGACAGAATATTCATACATCCGAGTTCTTGCAAAAAATAGAAGTTAGATAGTCAGTTGAATTTGCTAACTTTATCTAATAAAAATCAATACGTTTCTTCAGGTTTAAAACAGTTATAGGTCTTCAAATTCAAAATTATTTTTCAAAAATCTCCTCCTGTTGAAATAACAAATATGCAAAATCAAAAATGATTTTCAAAAATGACTTAAGTATCTGTAACTTTAGTATTCATAAAGTAAACATCATCATTGTATCTTCTGTAAACTTATAAATTGTTAACAATTATTTTTTCAGTTTGCTGTTTGGGAATCTGTATGTGTACTTTGCCTTCAAAGGAAAGGAAGAAGTAGATGCAAATACAAGGACCACGTTGTTCATTGTTTTGTCCTCGGCCTGCCTTGTGGGGATATTGATGCTGTTTGTACTTAGAAGACTTCCATCGAATGAAACTGACAATTTATTATCAATAGGTGCCAGGTACTCCATTTTTAATGGTTTATTATGTCACCACCACGAATGGTGTCACATTGTTTTGTCTGCAACTTTGTTGTGGATGGCGTTCAGCATTCAGTGGTTGGCAGTCAGCATTTGTAACAAATGGCAGGTCAAATTTTGCCTGTTAATGTTTTGTTACCATTGGTTGGGACATCCAATTTATTAAAGAGGTGCAGAATGACATACCTGTGTCACTTTCACAAGATGATATTACACTAGCCCTTAAGGATTTGTAAAATATCACTTTTGAAAGATACAAAGGTATTCACCTCAAAAGAATAAAATTGTTGTATTTTTCCTTATTAAAGCAAAATGGAGAAGTTTATAGGCCTATTAAATGTCAAGTTCCCTACCAAATTAGAGAGAATGCCTCACTTGATTATATTGTAGATTATAAAACATGTACATGTTCATATTCAGACAATATAATATTACATATTTTCCACAAATCTTTTTAATTGAAATTTCATATTTGATATTATCTAGGACTATTTTGAGATATTCAGTTATTTATAATTTCATTTTATAACAAATGGATAAGGTACTGTCTTAATAATTTTAATGTGTCTTCACTATCTTATAAAGTTGCCACCAAAAGGTTGTGAGATATACATATATTGTACAAGCCATTGTTTTTTTTGTCAAGCATTCAGCATTTGGATTTGGCATCAGTGATTGTTGATTGGCACTTGTAACACTTTGTTACATTTTTGTAACCCCAGTCATTGACATTTTCTCATATTGATGCCTTATACTTTATTTTTGCAGCACAAACACAGATTCAGACTCACCAAGTACATCAGGCCCACTGTATGCATTAAGTAAGTAGAATCATAGTCTTGCTGCAAGTCTTGAACCCCCTCCAACTATTTGCTTCACCAACTTATGAAGAGGTGTATAGAGGGAGGTCACAAGGGCTTGTAGCTATCTGACAATCGAAGCAAAGTTGTCCAATTATCAAGCAGTTGGGAAAGAACAAAGTTAGTTACATTAGTAGTGTGAATATGAATATTTTGTGAGTGATAAAAATTGATTTCAACTGTTAATCAACATTACTATTTGGCTATATTGGGGAGTGTAGTTAAATCGGAATGGAAGTAAAGAGACAATATGCATAGGAAGCGCAATGAAGACACCCCTGGACTTAATTGTATGTCGAGCCGAACCACATATTCTTCTACTATCTACTCACTAAAGAGGAGACGGATTGAACTAATGTCGCTGAAATAGATTAAATCTGAAATTTGAATACATCGGGGTCGGGGAAACCCTAATGTTATCTGATTGGTTGTTTAATTTGTTCATTATTCTGATCACATGACCAAGGGCATTTTTCTAGTGAGGTAGTTCATGAACATTCAAATGTACTTGAACAGTAATTTGGACATACTTCATTATTCTTCACAATTCTACCATATTCATCATGTATTCCTCAATTTTGATCATATAACACTTGCATACTTTTCATGAATTTCTCAAGAATAAATATTCATGAATTTCTTAAGAATTAAGAAGAATAAATCGTCAAGAATAATTCAAAAATAAACAAGGATAAATATTTTTGATTTTTAAAAGAATAAACAATGAATAAATGTTTTTTATAAATATTATAATTAATTTTTTTTTATTCTAACATTTTCTTTTTATTTTCAGAAAGATCATTTGAATTATTCAGAACGAAAGAAATTTTGCTGTTAAGTGTTTGTTACGCATATACAGGTAATTAATTCCCTAAAGATGGACAACTGTTAATTATGCAATCTTGGTTGACAAGTTGGTTCTTTCATGGGCCTCTTTCCATTCTCTGAACATTAATTTTTTTCATATCTTCACTTTGTTTTTTGAACAATATTTTTCTTCATTCATCCATTGCTGAGAAAATAATTGTGAAAAAGTAACTCAGTTTTTGGGACACTTAATATATTATAACTGGGCCATTTTGATTGACCCTGTTCTATTTTTGCAAAGTTTTGATTGAAAGGTGATGATAGATATCTCTGTTTTAGGATTTGAGTTGACATTCTTCAGTGGTGTTTATGGCACTAGCGTAGGACATACGCAACACTTTGGCATTGAGGCGAATAGTATCATAGGACTGATTGGCATTTTCATAGGAGTTGGTGAGATTCTAGGTGAGCATGGATTAGTATTTTTACGTCGCTTATTGGGTGACGTATTGGATTTGATATAGCCACCATTTCTTGAAATATTTTAATATTTGGTCATACGTGCTCGCTAAATTAAGAAAACTCACCCCACTGTCATCCCTTGAATAAAATATTTGAGCTTATAAGCATCTTTCTCTGTTGCATTGTAGATGTCTAGAAGGACAGAGGTGTTGCCATTTCAACAGAATAGAGGTTTGTGCTTCATGGCTTTTATATCCTCCTAAATTTGACCCACTTATCATTTGCAGGTGGAGCCGCTTTTGGTCTATTTGGGAAGCGTACAAACAAGTTTGGTCGAGATCCTATAGTCCTGTTAGGGTTTATTGTACACATGGCAGCATTCTACCTAATATTTATTAACTTACCAGAAGATTCACCACTCAATGAAACATCTGGTCATACATATATGACATCCAATAAATACGTAGCTATCGGCTGTGGCTTCCTGCTGGGACTCGGGGATAGCAGCTTTAATACTCAGGTTAGAAAGGGGGAGACCCCAATCACACTTTCTTTTTGTATCATTACTGACATGATTGCACTCTTTGAAACATGTGGTCAGCACAGTTGTTACACCACATGTGCCAAGTTTAATAAAACTGCTTCACCATAAAATTAGATTAAGTAAACTGATTACTCATTGCTACTTTGCTATAAGGTTATATGCTATGTTAACATCAAAACACTACTCATGACTTTATTTTCAATATGATGTGGGATACAAAAGAATTGTTATTAACTACATCACCACCAGAAGTGGTATATATTGTCTCCAACTTTTTTGTGCCTAGTGTTCGGCATCTGTAACAGCATTAGGCGCCTATAACAGCGGTCGGCATCAGTTTTAAAATTTGTTTTATCACGTTCCAACAAACTTTTTTTTACCCCATCATTTATGTCAGTTTGTATTATTTTGTGATCTTTAAAAAATAAAAACCAATTTTTATGGTGGAGTCATTTTTAAGTACAATATTACTCCCTTATAGACTATGAGGAGGAATCAATCTACTACATTGTCTACTATATATATAGTACTTTATTGTGAGGTATATAAGGACCTTCAAGAGAAATATTTTGGTCATTTGAATTTTTTTTTCATATATATTTATTTAAGTCAAGAACAACTACATATTTGTCACATGTTTACAGAATCAAATATATTGAAATAGATGCATACACATTGTATAGTCAATTATGCTAAATTATCAAGGAAAATCAGTCATCAAAAGTATATCGTTTAGAGGATCCCATTTATCTCCTCTTCTAACACTTATGTCTGTAGTAGGTTAATACATTTAGCTTAAAACCTTTAAATGTTGGTTTTCTAAATTGCTTATTTTGTTCATTTTATTTATTATTTCCCAGTTTCCTGTTTCAATTGTGGTATTCAAATCAATATTCCACTTTTCCAAATAGGTGCCGTTTATTGGTATACTTTTGATAAATCCCCAGTCGATTTGTTTACATATTTTTGAACGAGATAGAAACTTATTCAAGTATTTTTAATCATACGGGTTTCATTCATATTATTTTCACAAGTTAAAATTGTCTTAATCCAGTCAGTTTCTCTTATCACTTTCCAACAAACTTCGATGATGGTAAAGTTGCTATCTGATTGGCATATGTGACTTAAATTATATATCGTATATCTAAAATGTGTGATGCTGAAAACAAATAATGACCATCCTGTTTTTAGATTGTTGATTACCTGATACACTAAAAATGAACTTAATGATTGCATTCCAGAAATATATTTTATATTCCAGATTTATTCTGTCCTAGGGTTTATGTTCCCTGAAGATAGCGCACCAGCGTTTGCTTTATACAAGTTTGTACAGGTAAGTCTGCTAGGTTAATGATTGTAATGCTGAAAGTTAGCATGTTACTCTCCCATTTTTATGTCACAACTACATATTGGTATAGTCTCCAACTATTGTTGTTATAGTCTCCAGCTATATTGTTATAGTCTTCAACTATTGATGATGTAGTCTCCAGCTATATTGTTATAGTCTTCAACTATTGATGTTATAGTCTCCAGCTATATTGTTATAGTCTTCAACAATTGATGTTATAGTCTCCAGCTATATTGTTATAGTCTTCAACAATTGATGTTATAGTCTCCAGCTATATTGTTATAGTCTTCAACTATTGATGATGTAGTCTCCAGCTATATTGTTATAGTCTTCAACTATTGATGTTATAGTCTCCAGCTATATTGTTATAGTCTTCAACAATTGATGTTATAGTCTCCAGCTATATTGTTATAGTCTTCAACAATTGATGTTATAGTCTCCAGCTAAATTGTTGTTATAGTCTTCAACTATTGATGTTATAGTCTCCAGCTATATGGTTATAGTCTCCCTACGTTCTGAAAATATTTTTTTAACTTCTTGGCTCAATCAATATTGATAAAAGTAAGCTTAAAACACTGGGAATTGACTGACCTTTCCAATGATACCTAATACACCATTAGTGAAATTCTCTATAGCCTAACTGTTAAATGGTTAAGTGTGATATACCAATGGAAAACCCATTCACATTTAATTTGATTTATACTTTCAGTCAGTGACTGCAACAGTCGTTGTGATATACCAATGGAAATACCATTCACGTTTGATTTGTTTATTCTTTCAGTCAGTGACGGCAACAGTCATTGTGATATACCAATGGAAAGACTATTCAAGTTTGATTTATACTTTCAGTCAGTGACAGCAAGAGTCATTGTGATATACCAATGGAAAGACCATTCATGTTTAATTTGATTTATACTTTCAGTCAGTGACGGCAACAGTCATTGTGATATGCCAATGGAAAGACCATTCATGTTTAATTTGTTTATACTTTCAGTCAGTGTGATATACCAATGGAAAATCAATTCACATTTAATTTAATCTAATCTAATGCAGCAGTCGGTGTGATATACCAATGGAAAAACCATTCGCATTTAATTTGATTTATACTTTCAGTCAGTGACTGCAACAGTCATTGTGATATACCAATGGAAAAACCATTCACATTTAATTTGATTTATACTTTCAGTCAGTGACTGCAACAGTCATTGTGATATACCAATGGAAAAACCATTCGCATTTAATTTGATTTATACTTTCAGTCAGTGACTGCAGCAGTCGGTGTGATATACCAATGGAAAAACCATTCGCATTTAATTTGATTTATACTTGCAGTCAGTGACTGCAGCAGTCGGTGTGATATACCAATGGAAAAACCATTCACATTTAATTTGATTTATACTTGCAGTCAGTGACTGCAGCAGTCGGTGTGATATACCAATGGAAAAACCATTCGCATTTAATTTGATTTATACTTTCAGTCAGTGACTGCAGCAGTCGGTGTGATATACCAATGGAAAACCCATTCACATTTAATTTGATCTCTACTTTCAGTCAGTGACTGCAGCAGTCGGTGTGATATACCAATGGGAAAACCATTCACATTTAATTTGATCTCTACTTTCAGTCAGTGACTGCAACAGTCATTGTGATATACCAATGGAAACACCATTCACATTTAATTTGATTTATACTTTCAGTCAGTGACTGCAGCAGTCGGTGTGATATACCAATGGAAAAACCATTCGCATTTAATTTGATTTATACTTGCAGTCAGTGACTGCAGCAGTCGGTGTGATATACCAATGGAAAACCCATTCACATTTAATTTGATCTCTACTTTCAGTCAGTGACTGCAGCAGTCGGTGTGATATACCAATGGGAAAACCATTCACATTTAATTTGATCTCTACTTGCAGTCAGTGACTGCAGCAGTCGGTGTGATATACCAATGGAAAAACCATTCACATTTAATTTGATCTCTACTTTCAGTCAGTGACTGCAACAGTCATTGTGATATACCAATGGAAAACCCATTCACATTTAATTTTTTATACTTGCAGTCAGTAGTCTCCAGCTATATTGTTATAGTCTTCAACTATTGATGTTATAGTCTCCAGCTATATTGTTATAGTCTTCAACAATTGATGTTATAGTCTCCAGCTATATTGTTAATTTTTAATTTAATTTGATCTCTACTTTCAGTCAGTGACTGCAACAGTCATTGTGATATACCAATGGAAAAACCATTCGCATTTAATTTGATTTATACTTTCAGTCAGTGACTGCAGCAGTCGGTGTGATATACCAATGGAAAAACCATTCGCATTTAATTTGATTTATACTTTCAGTCAGTGACTGCAGCAGTCGGTGTGATATACCAATGGAAAAACCATTCGCATTTAATTTGATTTATACTTGCAGTCAGTGACTGCAGCAGTCGGTGTGATATACCAATGGAAAACCCATTCACATTTAATTTGATCTCTACTTTCAGTCAGTGACTGCAGCAGTCGGTGTGATATACCAATGGGAAAACCATTCACATTTAATTTGATCTCTACTTGCAGTCAGTGACTGCAGCAGTCGGTGTGATATACCAATGGAAAAACCATTCACATTTAATTTGATCTCTACTTTCAGTCAGTGACTGCAGCAGTCGGTGTGATATACCAATGGAAAACCCATTCACATTTAATTTGATTTATACTTGCAGTCAGTGACTGCAGCAGTCGGTGTGATATACCAATGGAAAACCCATTCACATTTAATTTGATCTCTACTTTCAGTCAGTGATATTTCAGTCATTGTGATATACCAATGGAAAACCCATTCACATTTAATTTTTTATACTTGCAGTCAGTGACTGCAGCAGTCGGTGTGATATACCAATGGAAAAACCATTCGCATTTAATTTGATTTATACTTTCAGTCAGTGACTGCAACAGTCGTTGTGATATACCAATGGAAAACCCATTCACATTTAATTTTTTATACTTGCAGTCAGTGACTGCAGCAGTCGGTGTGATATACCAATGGAAAAACCATTCACATTTAATTTGATTTATATTTTCAGTCAGTGACTGCAACAGTCATTGTGATATACCAATGGAAAAACCATTCACATTTAATTTTTTATACTTGCAGTCAGTGACTGCAGCAGTCGGTGTGATATACCAATGGAAAAACCATTCACATTTAATTTGATCTCTACTTTCAGTCAGTGACTGCAACAGTCATTGTGATATACCAATGGAAAACCCATTCACATTTAATTTTTTATACTTGCAGTCAGTGACTGCAGCAGTCGGTGTGATATACCAATGGAAAGACTATCACATTTAATTTAATCTTTATTTTCAGTCAGTGACTGCAGCAGTTGCTTTCTTCTACAGCACTAAGTTATTGCTACAATGGCAGCTTTTAATCCTAGTTGTGATGAACGTACTAGGCACAATGTGTTTCTTCCTCGTGGAATGGGGCAGTGCAAGGGTCTCTCATGAAGGCTATTCTAAGATAGAATGACATTCTGTAAGCATTTGTAGCATTAAAGCAACTCTACATATTTAGCTTCATAAGCTTTGATAGAGGATAGAAATGAGATATAAACATTTAGTCCTTTGGGTCAGTTGAGTCGATCATTATAGTTTAAATAATTGATTATTGAGAGGTTTTTCGATAATTTTAAAACTGCAGTATACAGTTTGAATTACTTGAATAACTGAAATTTTCAATGCACAAAAAACAGCGTTTTTACTTCTGCTCTTAAATGACAATTTACTTGTTGATAATTTTCAGGGTGAGGAAGACAGCACCATGTAAAACATTCCTGTTGCCATGACTATCACTGTGATTACTATGGAGATGATGTCAACAATTACATAACTGGATTGTGCAGCTGTGATTCCTCAGGTTAATAAATAGATGCAATAAACAAACAATGATGTAATACAATTAAATGCAGTTCAATGAAATATTCTTTTATTTCCCAAGTGGGTGCAAATTTTTATTTTCACAATTTTGACAAAATTTGGGTAAAAATGCACAGATGCCGGCCAGATCATTTTATAGTAACATAATGATCTGGCATGAATCTATGTCAAAATGTAACATCACAATCTTGTGCTATTTTGCTCATGTGGGCTGTTTCTATTGCCCACATTTTGAATGGAGGGAGTGCCAGCATATTTTCAAAATCTCCAGACAGTGCAGGACCAGCACCCACTTGTTTCAATGTTGGGGATGAAGAGATACATATTTGGGATATTATAAATGAGAAAGTTGCTCAAAAATGTTGTCTGATGTCATAAAAAGTCTCCATATAGGATTCTTGCAATGAGAAATATTAGACAAAAGATTGAGGTCTCTTTTAATCAGAGGAATTTAACATTGCCCTAAAAGTTTAAAAAAATTCAGGGAAATAACGGAAATAAAACCTCTGATTTAGGGGACAGTTTCGCTGTCATAACTCTGATTTATGAGACATTTCGCTGTCATCCTAAGTGCTATATATTATTGGTGATTGATTGTGACAAATGACTGACGACTGACGTAATGTAACTATGATAGTTAAAAATGAGTGGCAATTCATATAAATTGTATAGGAAAGAATATTGTACAGGGCGTTCATAAAGTTCTTGCAAAAATACTCTAAAATTTTTGTTTCTCTGTCAATTTGGCTGAAATTTTCACTCAGTATACCTACACTATTCATACATTGAGACTCTTGTATGGATACCATAAGTTCCCCTAAGGTTGAATGACGAATTCCGCGAAGATCATTCTTTATTCTGCCAAAAACCCCAAAGTCAAGGGGTGCCTTGTCTGGGGAGTAGGGAGCTTGATCACGAAGTATGGGATAAATCTAATTTTCACTTTTTCTAAATACATTCTGGTATATTATCATCAACTGTGCAGAAGTTATGTCACTCAAAATCATACAGTATCGCATTTCTAACATGAACGACCGAGTCTACAAGCATTTTGTTAATTCAAATATTTTGATTTTGATTTTTCGTACAGTATGTGGTATCTGCATGGTTTATTTACATGTTGTAAGATGTTTTAAAATATGCCATTCCAGTTTGTGTACTGTGTTTCTACAGTTGGTGTGTTTCTATTATTCTCCAAAACAATGGCTCCAAATTTATTGGGAGCTCTTCACACACGTTTGTCTGGTGTTCTTGGGATGTATTTTCTGATACAGAAAATACATAAACTATTTCTATTTCTTATCATTATTTTATTTCAATACAAGAAGAAAAGAGGGCAGTGCAATATTTAGAGGTTATGTCACTATCGTGGCATATATGCCCGAGGTCTCAGTGATATATAGCCCGACCTTGGGAGGGACATTGATCTCTGAGAACCGTGGGCATATGTGCCACGATAGTGACATAAACGATTTATAACATATCTATGATGATGTAGACTGGTCAGAGAGCACCATTTTCTTATAGAATTGACAAACAAATGGTTTGAAAATGATTGAAATGAGTTTAGAAAAATTGCTCGCGCAGTTTTATCTTCGATTGATTGGTTATGACGTCAGTGCCTTGACCAATCAGAAAGTTAGCGGGCGCGGGCTTTTCAAAACTTATATTGGCCTGCTGTCTTGTGTACACTTTGCACTATACATCATCATAGGTATGTTATAATTAATTTTTATTTCATGTTTATCTGCAACAATGTAATGTTATAATGAAGTTTTATTCATATTACTAAGAAAAATTATATGTAGAAAATTCTGGTAAAAGTGGTATGTGAAGATATTTCCTTTTTTCAAAATTCTTTTTTTTATAATTTTTAGAATTTGATATTTTTGATAAATTGTAAAAAAATATTGTCACATTGCAACTTAATGCTGTATGAAACATACAAAAAACGTTTTGCTAAAATCAAATAGCATCTTGTATAAGTGAAAATAGATGGTGAATAATTTATTTTATTTTTTTTAAATTATTTTCACATTTGGGTATCTGCTTTTCCAAAATAATGTCAAGAATTTATAAATCGAGCCTACATGTATGTAAATATAGAGTATTTAAATTAAAGTTATATGACTGTAGATGCATATAGAATCATTTTATCCTGACTTAAATACTCCTTTACTGTATTTTAAAGTATGTTATGAACTATGTGCTCAATATAAAGTATATTTATGTGAAAACAAAACTATATTGGTTTTTGTTGATATTATTTCCATCTTGCTCATCATAAATAAATGGCATCTTGATTTTCTATCACCATTCCCTGACCATGGTGATTTGAGACTTCATACTTTACAATAATGTCTAGATACACATCCCTTAGTTTTGTATATTTTATTTTCTATACTCTCAACTACTAATAAATGGTCACTTGAAAATTCTCTTCTTTTTAACATTGGAAATCCTCACTTCAGCAAATCCAAGTGGCATTTATTTATGGTGAGCACTGTACTGATCCAAGTCGTCCAAATTGTCACAAGGGGGTGAGGTATTAATGAAATCACTCAAAACTATATCTGTATACTATTTACACTATTTATTACATTTCCATGGTTACAACTAATAATTATTTAGACATAAAGAAATAATGAACACACATTTTGATGAACACTTAAATTTAAAGGACAATTATGCATATTTATATTCCCTAAGTAAAGAATACAACAACATTTTGAAATCTTAATTTAGTCTGGTGATGCTCACTCCAAAGGCAAAGTCAATTTTTATTTGTAGCCTAACACTGAACACTACCAATCTAAAACATTAAGTGTTGTTTGTCAAACATTACTCTACAGCTGAATGCAGTGTTCTTTTAAAATCACTAAACAGTACAGCTTGAGAATCACTTCCAAGACAGTGCTGTGCAATTTGTCAAAACAGCTGCACAGCGCTGTGCTGAACTAGAACAATTGAGTGCATTATCACAGCATTGTGCAGCACTGTTGGATAAAAAATGTAAAATACTGTTTGATAAGGTTGCAGATTGAGTGAGTATAACAAGTTCTAGAATCTGTTGGTAGTTCCGTAGTATTCTATTTTACATGATTATCTCTAAAAACAAAAATAAAGTTTCTGACATTATTGTATTTCTTAAAAACAGAGATTTGAACATATGTCTGTTTAATGTATGCTATGCTGATTCCACTCTTGTCTTGTCTATTTCACAATCAAAATATATCCTGCATACACAGGGCTCCAAAATCCAGAATATCTTCTTTCTTTTTAGGGAAGAAGGAGGTACGGATTCTGGACACCTGCTTAGGAGGATGTCAAAATATGACATACTTCATTTTAATTTTGAACTTTCTTAAGGCATATTTTCCATAAATGCATGTTTATGTTACCCTTCAACACTGATGTTACAGTTTATATGTTGATGTCACACTTCATCACCTGGTGTTACACTTTAACATCCAGTGTAACACTTTACCATATGCAACATGAATATACTGAATAACACTCAGTCATATAGAGAACTTTGGTCATGTGTTGTCGTATTATATAATATACAAACAAATATAGTTGATTTCCTTTTTACAGAGTTCAAGTTAACTATTTAAATATTTTTTTTAAATGCAATATGTACACTTTTCAGGGATATGCAATCCCAAATAAGCTAATAAAATAATGGTGTCAACTGCCAAATTAGGTCATGTAGGTTAGGGTATTAAAACAATATAAAATTGATTGGCTTGAAAAGTCAAGTATTAAAAAGAATAAAATTTGAAATTATATATTTAACAACATCAAGTTACTTGACAATAGTTGAATAGCCCAAATGACACAATGACATCTCACAAAACAAATTTTTAAATAAATACATACTTTAAAACATTTACTATCTTAATCATCAATAACTATGTTAAAATGTTTTAAAATAAACATGTACAGTATTACAATTTGTCATTTCTGTTTGATATTTCTTTGCAGTCTAGCGCACAGACCCAAAAATTAACTGTCCCACATCAAACTGGCCCATAGACCATTAAGACATGTTTGGGGCTGAGTTGTAGACTAATTATGAAATCATTATATTCACTTATTTAGCTTTTAGTTTTTTTTTCTTTTTATTTATATAGATTTCTAATAAATATTTATTTCCATTTAAAGTATTTCACTCATCGGGTGGGGAGTGTTCGATTATCATTCAAATGGCCCCACTATTCTATGGCCCCTTATATAATAAGAGCTACAATACTGAGACAGGCCCCTTATATCAATGACAACAATACTGAGAGGCTGGTGATATTACTATGTACATATTGACTGTTTATATTGACAGTTTATATTATAAACCATCATTCACAGAGACCTTTTCTCCACGAGGGTTTCTATTGGAAATACGTTTCTTAACATCAGGCCTGACATCTATCATCCCTTCATCGGGATCACCATAGTCATACTCATCAGTTTTTTCTGTTGTAGTTTCTACTTCACTCTCCGCCCCAGGAGATGTTAAGCCAAATGCAGCCAAGAATCCTTTCCAGTTAATCGTGTCGTCTGATTTAAATCGAATCAATAAAAATTCTCCTGAGGATACAAAAGTCTTTGTGAGCTGAAAAATCAAAATGGGACAATCATCATGACGTAAACATTAAGAGTTGCCATGTCCGCGAGTCAGATCTTATAATCGATACATAAGGGATCAACCAATATATCACATAATGTGTCACATTAACACATTCATATGTTTTGATCTTACATTGTATATACATGTATGTCAAAACATTCATTAAGAAATGTCAGATCAAACGTTCTGTACAAATCCATCCAGTCTAGTTAAAAAGTCAAAGTTGTTCATTATCTATCTAAAAATTCGTCACTACATGTATTTGCTCATATAGTTTTTTAAATACATCATGAAATAATAAAAAACACAATACATGTACTTACTTTACTGCCACAAAATTTGCCTATTCTAGGTGCAGCGTCATCTTTGCCATCATACACAATGACAGAATCGTAACTACAGTCGCTCTCATCTTCAACCTCAAACTCTAAGAACCTTAATCGAACCCTGTAGTCACCTGAAGCCTGTATTAACCAATCACAATCCTCCTTATTGTCATAATTTTGGTCGCCATATTTAGCATGTGAGTAAAGATATTGTGCCGAACTATTTGCGATTAATGTACCCCCACAAACTGAAAAAGTTTTAAATTTATTGTTAAATTAATTTTAAATTTATTTGAGTATTTCAGAATTAAAAACTTGCTATTCTTTCATTACAGTATTTGAGTTGGATTTATAATTTTAGTAAGCTTAACTTTTTAACTTTCAGATACTATGTTCCAAATAAATTATAAGAATGGGTCTCTCTATAACAAATATTAACAATTCTTGTAAATTAGAAACATTGTAGATAAACTGATTCTGTAACTACCTGTACTATGTATTGCATTGAATCCCTTCCGTTGAACAGAGGCATCAGAAAAAAATGTCATGTACATTTTATTGCGACTTGATGACATCGCATGAGGTACACTGCTACCGCAATAACTTCCCAAACTGCGGGCCTCCTCGTCTTCCCCATCGTACAACTCGATATGATCGTAGGCACACTCCTGGTGGGGTTCCAACTCGAAGTCGCTAAACACCAACTTAATCTTGTGACCTGGCTTAGTGGAGAAATGCCACATGCATTGTTTTCTACTTGGGTAATAGTCTGGCCAATTAGGACTGCTAACCTCCCCTTTGGGATCGGTTATTCTGTGTTGACAACCACCTTCCTTACAGCCATGTCCGTTGTCATGGAGAGTGAAGCCATTGTGGCAGGAGCATTTGTAACTTCCGACTGTGTTTTTACAGATATGTTGACAACCACCGTTATCTTGGGCACACTCGTCAATATCTGGAAAAATATAATGTGTACAATAAAGAGATTTAAAGAAGCACATGTGTACAATAAAGAGATTTAAAGAAGCACATGTGTACAATAAAGAGATTTAAAGAAGCACACAATATCTTATAATTGAACTTTTGAATGAAGTTATATTTCCCTAATGGACCAAGAACTGTGTCAGCTACTTGAGATTTTGCAAAAGGCTTGCACCCGCTTAAAAAATAATCTGCGCCCGCTTATTTCCAATTTGCATTCACCCGAGAATCGTGAAAAATTGTTATGTTTTGACCAACTTTGACGGAAAAATTCTGACTTCATTACTGCTATAGTTTTTAATGTAATTTTCCATGAGTTATGTTATTTTAAGTGAATTCAGAGATTGCTTTCCCTCAAAGTTTTTTGCAAGGGTCATCACAGACACAGACTATTAATTTCACACAAATAAGTCACTTTTGCTACCATTATGCAAAATCCTGCTAAAATCAGACGATTATTTACAACTCTTGAAATGAGTAGCACTGAGCACAGCAGAGTCAACTGGGAAGTACACTTAATATAGGACACAAGAATTAAATAAATTATGTGGGATTGTGTACATGCAAGGAACACATTTCAGCTCTGAGTGGTCACCAGGTATTTAAATGGCCAATTTTGCAAGTTTAGCCTTTCTGGTACTAGTCATTCTGGTATGCCAGAGCCCCTCTTATCTGCCGTTTGCGAGAGGACTTTGACAGGATAAGGACAGAGGGGGCACGGCTATCGCGATGGGTACTAGTAACTATACTTCATATTTAAATGGACCATGATTTTATAGGGTCGTTGTGACCTAAATCATGTGGGCATTCATCATTTCAGATTAACAATGTGAAGATTGATACCCGGGTGCCTACCTGTGAAAAAGACACCCTTGAAGCCCGTTCTTTGCACAGAATTGTCAGAGCTGAATTCTATGCGTAGTGTGTTGCCCACTGATGTAATGGACCCTGGAAGTGTGGTTCCGCAGTAAGTGCCATGTAGCGTGGAGTCTGCCCCCACCCCACTCCTTACCTCTAGCGAATCATATTCACATTCATGCTGAAAATAAAAATAAAATACATTAATCTGTGCAATAACACAATTATCTTCCATGATGTTGTAATTTCTGTAAATTTGATTGGCTCATGTGACACTAATATATCCTACATTTATAATTTTAAATATTAATGTGATACTCAATTACAACTGCAATTTTGGGAAATACAGATTTTCAAGGGCATTATAGTTTTTGAGTTTCATTCAAAGCATTGACTAACTTAAAAGTTTTACACAATAGAATATTATAATATAAATTGATGGTACATATGCTCTGTCGCCATTTTTGGGTGGTCTGAGACTAAGATCTTCTCTCTTAGAACCACTTGTCTACATGCAACAATATTCCAGCCAGCTTGAAAGGCTTCTATTCTTTTGTGATTCCAGTATTGCCCTTTGTGTTTTTTCTCTTTGATGTTTTTTATTTGTTTGCATGTTTGTTTGTTTAACACAAAAGGATGTTATCATATTAATTCCACTGAATCAATAAAAAAAATGTTGGGACCAACAGGAAAATAGATAAATAAATAAACAGAAATGTCACTAGGGGGTTTTAAATGGCCAGACATGAGTTTGTGAAGAAGGTGTCATGTTGCATCATTCGCTCAGTCAGATATACCCGAAATCCAGCTGGGAAAAGAAAAATTGATATTTTTGATTTTTTATTTGTAAATGACATTCCCGCTGGGTGACACTATGTACTAGTAACCTTAACTGTATTTCAATTAGTACTTTAGGCTCTTTGAAGGACCCCAACCTTCCAAATGTTTCTCATATAAGATAGTAAATAAAAAACAAGGTATTTAAAGAATCTATTCAATCAGTACAAACTTGATACAATTTGTGCATGAACAGGAAAATGTCACGTCAAAGATCTCATCAGATCACACCATGTTTAACCAGACAAAGGATGGATTGTTAAGGAATGGAGTAATATTCTGTAAGGGAGATGTTAGCCCTTGCAATGAAATTAGCCAGGATGCTGTTTGTGTGATTTTCCGAGGTACTGCTGTGACAGTTACACTTTTTTATATATTTAATGTGACAAAAATGTGCCTATTACTACCAATATGTGCTACTCTCTTCATCCCATGTTTAAGAACGTCACATCCATGGGATGTCCTCAAAACAATTTATTAAGGGCCCCAGAGTAATTTATTAAGACACAGTTCCATGGTACCAAAAAGACCTACCAGGCAGAACATTGTTCTCCCACAAGAGAAAATTCAGGGTGGTCATGTTTTAAAATTCAAAATAGAGTGGAAAAGAGTGAAATTAGCAAGGAATAAAATATACAGGCATGTAGTTGACATTCTAAAGTGTATAGAAATCCAAGAAAATGAAATACTTTATTCAAAATTTGGCATGAAATGGAGTGAAATAAGTGTGAACAGACGGCATTTTATGAATGCGTTCTGGTCCCATGTCACTCCATGTAACATATCTTAGCTGTCATCTTTAATGTTTATCACTCACACTAAGGCCATAATATCACATAAACATAGTGCAATCATATGATAGAGTTGGCAGCTCCTCATTAATTGTGCTATCAAAAACAGTTCAACTACTAATAGTCAAGAAACTTTATAACAACAAAGCTACTTGAAAGTCCTCAATGGGATGTTTTACACATGAATATGGACAGGAAACTTAGAGATAAAATTGAAGTTATATCAATGGTGTGTACTCAAGAGCATTTATAAATGTGACACGTGCCAGTTTATGTCACCTGGATTACACTTCTCTGATAATGTATCTCTTGTTGAATTTCACACCGTTATCTTTTAGCCCATTTTACCAATTTGAAATATGTGGGTATACCCGAGGCATAAGGTACATTTTACAGATTTTTTTTTATAATTATTGAATTTGTGAAAATTAAGTATTTTGATAGTACATGTATATTAATGCTTTTAATGACATTTTTAGCTCAATTTTTTTTAATTTTGCGTTGTGTATTTTTAGAGCCTCTTACATACATAAGGATGGGAAAATTACAGTTCGGACATATCAACATTATTTTTTACCAGTTTGCTAAAAAACAAAATGAACAAGCTTTTGAGTAAATTCATTGAAACGGCTATTTTTGGAAGTTTCATTAAAAATATAGCGCTATCCATCAACTCAAGTTAAATGCACCTGATGCATCTCAGCTCCTTTTATAAATATAACACGGAAACATGTCGAAACACAGTTCCTCATTGTTCGAAAACAGAAATTTCACACGTGTGAGACAAGCATTTTATTTGTATAATTATACATTTGTACCGACCTCACCCCACACATTTCAAAAACATTTGCTTCAAATCGTAACCTATGACTTTTAATCAATTAAATTTTTTGTAAGTATTTAAAAAACTTGTCTTCTCTTACAAATATTTTCTCCTAACATATACTTATCAGAACAAGACAAAATTTGCTGTAATTCAATTCAGAATTTTCACAGTTCCAGACATCCTGTTCACTTCTTTTGAATTTAAACTTTGAATGAACGAGCATTATTATCTTCTTGTATTTCTATACCTTTTATTCTTAAAAGTTGAACGAACTATACTCTTTTTCTGGACTTTTTTCAATTTTAGATTATCAGCTATATGCCTGCATATCTTATTCCTTGTCTTTTCCACCCTTTTCCACTCTTTTCCACCCTTTTCCACTCTTTTCCACACTTTTCCACTATTTCCCACCTTATTTATTTGACACTTTAAAACATGCTCACAGTCAACTTACTCATGGGTCAGAGCACATACTAATTTAGTAATTTGACAAATGAATTAATCTCAAACAAGATCCAGGATTCAATTCAGGATCCTCAAATTTCCATGACATTACTCCACAATTGATTCATTTTTCTTAATGTTATTTTTCAATCTTGGAATGGGATATCACTTCCTGAATACATTTCTAAAATTGTTTTACTTTATTATTTCAAAAACATAACATATTATTTACAAACTATCAAACATAGCACTTTTGGTGCTAAATTTTTGGGTGTTTCTAATTTTACATTATCTGGTGTTTCTAATTCTGCATACTTTGGGATTTCTAATTTTATTTAAAACTAAATGAAGTTTTTAATTCTATTTTAATTGGTCTCAAATTCAACACACATACACAATTTGGTGTTTCTAATTCCACTTATATTATTTGAAGCTTCCAATTCTTGATTCTACTTAAATTAATTGGTGTTTCTAATTCTACTTAAATTATTTGGTGTTTCTAATTCTAAATTATTTGGTGTTTCTAATTCTACTTAAATTATCTGGGGTTTCTAATTCTACTTAAATTATCTGGTGTTTCTACTTCTACTTAAATTATTTGGTGTTTCTAATTCAACTTAAATTATCTGGTGTTTCTAATTCTACTTAAATTATTTGGTGTTTCTAATTCTACTTAAATTATCTGGTGTTTCTAATTCTACTTAAATTATCTGGTGTTTCTAATTCTACTTAAATTATTTGGTGTTTCTAATTCTACTTAAATTATCTGGTGTTTCTAATTCTACTTAAATTATTTGGTGTTTCTAATTCTACTTAAATTATCTGGTGTTTCTAATTCTACTTAAATTATCTGGTGTTTCTAATTCTACTTAAATTATTTGGTGTTTCTAATTCTACTAAAAAAATTATTTGGTGTTTCTAATTCTAATCAAATTATCTGGTGCTTCTAATTCTACTTAAATTATTTGGTGTTTCTAATTCTACTTACATTATTCCCTTCCATATCAAAGTGGGTGAAGTTGATGGTGATTGTGTATTTCTCTGGCACAACAATCTGCCAGATACAGTTCTTGTTAGATGGGTAGTTTTCAGGGAACGAGGGACTGTGGATGGATCCATTGAGGGCATTGATATAGCCACCACACGCATCTGGAAAATAGGGCATTGATATCAAATAGAATAACATGATGAATTGAGGGCATTGATATAGCCACCAAACGCATCTGGAAAATAGGGCATTGATATCAAATAGAATAACATGATGAATTGAGGGCATTGATATAGCCACCAAACGCATCTCCAAAATAGGGCATTGATATCAAATAGAATGATATAATGCATTAAGGGCATTGATATAGCCACCAAACGCATCTGGAAAATAGGGCATTGATATCAAATAGAATGATATAATGCATTGAGGGCATTGATATAGCCACAACAAGTATATGGAAAATAGGCCACACTTCCTAGTCTTGCATTTATCTCTTGTGTAAATGACCAATTCAAATAAACTTCATTTTTGATTTTTTAATAGGAACTAATGTATGGCATCATACAGAGACAATGTCCAGCAGTACCGAACAGTACTGTGATTGCTTATTGGGGGTGTAAAAATAGTATTTTACCTTCGCATCGCTTGCCATCTGAGTGTAGCTCATATCCGATCTTGCATTGACACTTGAAGCCTCCAAGGGTGTTTACACATTGATGGTGGCAACCATGTTCATCTGTACTACACTCATCATATTCTGAAACACACATTTAAATGGATTGCTCTGGTTTATAGGGGTTTGAACTTTAATTATGCTATGATTTCTCATTTATAATGTTGCAATACAGGAACATGTATAACAGTATTCAAATAATTGCTTTGTACATATGTACTTCCTTAATTCTATAATTTTTATATTTTATTGGTTCATATTTTTATAATTTAAAGAACAAACACTAAAAACAGGTCTGATCTTACGAACTGAATTCTTATAATAACTTAAAGTAGCAGGATGATGAGAAATTGATTGTAATTCTGCATGATTACAATTATCTATATTTCATGCAATGGTTGATAATTTTCACATTTCAAAGATTTACACATGTATTTGTAAAATGCACAGTTCATGATCAAAATATATTTCCATTATAAAATTGATATAACATTAATTTCTTCAATATTTTCAATATTTTTGATAGTAAAGATCACATGTGATAGTGTGAACACATCTTAAGGAAGACCATATGTTACATTCCAGGTTAGTGTGGACCCACCTTAAGGAGGATCACATGTTGCATTCCAGGTTAGTGTGGACCCACCTTAAGGAGGATCACATGTTGCATTCCAGGTTAGTGAGGACCCACCTTATGTCCTTAAGGAGGATCACATGTCACATTCCAGGTAATTGAGGACCCACCTTAAGGAGGATCACATGTTGCATTCCAGGTTAGTGTAGACCCACCTTAAGGAGGGTCACATGTCACATTCCAGGTTTTGTCTTACCTTTTATGAAGCGTGCTGCAAAGCCAGCCTTCTGTACAGAACCATCAGACACAAACTTTACATAGAGTTTATTACTGGTGGATTTGAGATCTTCCGGAACCTTATAGCCGCAGTATTTTCCAATGAGAGGAGAGGTTTTCTCGTGACCATCTCTCACTTCTAGGTAGTCATAGACGCAGTTGTCATGGTTCTCAATCTAAACAAAATATCATATCATTTGGTTTAAATTGGTGCACTGATTCGGTTTGAATTGGACTTATTTTGTTTGAATTGGTGCATTAGTTTTGTTTGAATTTATACCCCAGATTGGTTTGAACTGGTGTTCTCATTTGATTTGAATTGGTGAAGTTCTGTTCAATTTCGAAACTACTGTTTCCTCTTTAATATTTTGATTGTTGCCCTCATGCTTTCTAATTGATACCTCGGGTATTTTTATTCGTATGAGGGTCTTCAATTGGTTTGTCATGATCCATTAAAGTTTGACAAAATAAATAGACTGGTTTATAACAGTATGAAAGTGGCCCATATCAAAATTTACAAAGGCTTTACACCTACAATTTACACTCAGTTTATACTTACTTTACACCCAGTAAATAGGTGACCAATTTCATATGCAAATGAGCTAATTTACACTTTAATTTACACTCAGTTTACACCTTAGTATACACCCACTTTACACCAAGTTTACATCTACTTTACATCCAGTTCGCACTTAGTTTTCACTTAAGTTTACACTCAGTTTACACTTACTTTACACCCAGTAAATAGGTGACCAATTTCACATGCAAATGAGCTAATTTACACCTTAGTTTACACTCAGTTTACACTTTAGTATACATACTGATTGGTCAGATTTTAAACTTAATTTACAGTTAGTTCACATATTTCACCTAATCCTTAATTGGCGAAATGCTAACTGCTTATCGCAGGAGGAAAGAATGCAAAGATATTCTGAATTTTGAAGCACTGTGATCAGAGAATAATATTAATGAAGATACAGGGGGTCCAAAGCGTAACGAATTGCAAAAAATTGCAAAAATTAAAATCCCATGTTAAATCGCCATGGGGATTTTCCTGGAATTTTCTGTCTAAGCACTTTAAAAAGTATTTGTAGGAGTTATGCTATAGTACAAATATCACAGAATGATCAGCATTAAAGATCTATACATTATACAAGTAGTTCTGCTCAGATTTTTAAATTGAAGTTTTAAACAAAAAATGCTAAAATAATTCTGTTTTGTAAAAAGTTCAAATCCGCCATCTTGAATTATGGTGCCATAATGACACTCTTTTGCATATTCAATTTTTTCAAGAAAAAACCCCATAAAATATGGGTCTATATAATTTATTGGGCCTTGCTTCCTTCTCTTGCTTCTAGATACTTTTACAAATAACTTTTTTATTTTCTTCATTTTTCCAAAAAGTTTCCAGTCTCCAGGGAGTTAATGAATGTATATGTCCTATGTAAAACCTATGAATTACAGCCCAGGATATAATGCCATCATGATTCAGATTAGAATGAATTCTAGGTGAAAAGATCAAAACAAACAGGCAAGCACAAAAGGTAGAAAGATTCAATGGATATATTGAAAAGAAATTTGAAGCTTAAGAAAATGGATAACTAAATGAACAAATATGATGAAACTGGAACAAATGCACAACTAATACCTAATGGTAAAGTTGACACCAAAATCAAATAAAGTAAAACTGTATCAGGGCCGATGTTATAGGATTTTGTGAAGACTTACCAAAACCAAAATGGCTAAGCCAGCTTTGATTGAAAGAGAGGCTGCATGAGCCTCGTTTTGGAATTAGGATTCAGTCAAGTATACACTTAGTTTACACTTTGACCAATATTTGATTTTTCTGAGTCTAATTTACATCCAGTTTTCACTTTTAACAAATTCAAAGTCAAGTTTACACCTAGTAAATCAGTGTTTACTTTCTGCAAGTAAATACCTATTTACTTGAGGTAAAGTTAACATCGAAGTATACACCAAGGTCTGGTGTAAATTAAGTGTAAACTGAGTGTAAACTGGATGTAAACTTGAATTCATTTTTGTTTGGGGGTAACTTTGCATTTGAAATGTTGCCATTTGTGCTCCTAATTAGACTTATAGTAATCTATTGCAGGCATAAAGTTAAATGCTGATTTCAAGTTTTATCAACATGTTCATTATTTTTAAAATTGCTGTAAATGTAGTATGTAAATGATATAAATGAGGCTGTTTGATAAAACTGCATCATAAGTTGTGCCAATACAATTCATGAATGAGTGATTCAATAATAATAAATAATATGAATAAATAAATAATAAACAAATAAGATAAACATGTTCATACCTCAAATGAGACAAACTTAAGAGCCACAGCATAGTCATCAGGAACAGTTATCTTCCAAACACACTCCTTGTTGGGTTTATAATAATCAGGGTAGTTAGGACTGGACAACTGACCCTCTTCCTTCAGGATTTCTCCCCCACACACAGCTGTAACAAAAATTGTATAAGGTTTACAGGGGTTTGTGGACAATTAGGCAATTGGAACTAGACAATTGACCATAAAGGTCCTGTAGAAACCATTATCAGGAAAATTGTGGTTTTGAAATGTTTGAAAATTAAAGGCTCGGTCTACTTTTCATAAAAATGTAAAACATAGCTATTAGGATTGTTATAGTCAGAGCCATGAAAAGTATCATTAGAAGGAAAATAATTTCAAACTTTACAAGGGACCTTTAAATATTTATCTACATCACACAGCTGGATTGGTCTAAATGTATCATTTTACAATGTTTTTTGCTGTTTGAAGGGATTTCAGTTTATATAGTATTTCCTTCATTTCTATCAGTACAAAATGATGACAATATAGCACTTTCAATAATTGAGGAACGAATAAATATTTTGAAAAATGTTCTGAATACTCTGGAACATAATATACGAGGAAGCACTAACAATTAAGGCCAGGGTGTCTTAATGTTACTCCAAAGGGCTTAATATACTGGATATACCAGGATATAAATAGTGGATTCAGGAAGTCAGGAAACTCAAAGCCAATAATTGCCTGTGATTAATTATATTTATGAACTATTAATCATTATTATTTCATGATTGGGGTAATAAGCTGCATTCCCCTGGATGACCCGGGCTCAGTACAATCAATTATCCAGTGATTAAAATTATTGCGGGTTACATTTTGAAATGGAAAATAAAGTGCAGATTCATGGGGTTAGCACGTGATAAAATACAAAGGTGGGTAGTTAGTACCCTAAATTGTATAGAAATGCAAGAAAAGCTGAGTGTTTATTCAAATTTTAAGGAGATATGTGTGAAATAGGCAAAATCATAGAGAGATTTTAAGCAGACAGTTATTGGTAAACACCTCTACAGTTATTGGTAAACATCTGGGACCTTGGTCAGCTGATCAGATCAATTATAAGTTATTGCGTAATTACGGATCACTACAAGGTGTTTGCAGAATTAACTGGTTTCCACCACTTTTCAATACAATGAGTACAATAAACATCCGATAGCTAATCTAAAATAATTAAGTATATTCACTCCCCTTATCTCCTGGATTGTTTTACTTGTAAACAATATTCAAGAGGATAAGTATTAATCAGCAAGAAAAATGGGCTCAATAGAATTTATATTGCGCAAAAATGATAAAGGTTTACCCTGAGAACATGCTGATTCTCAAGTCCCCTTTCAGTGTTTCAAAATTGCCAAATAATTCTATAATAACCCTATTACCAGACATAACCTGCCAGATGCTCCACAATTTAACCCCACTAACTTTACAAAAAAGCATACCACCCCCTATCACCATTAATAGGATGAAAGATACAGTACTTCTCATAACTGAGTTGAATAGATATTTCACTGTCAGTATGGTAGATTTTTTTTTTGCATTCAGTTTGGCAATTATTGTTGTATAAAACAGAATTAACCTCTTGAATACCCAGAGTGACGGATATATCCGTCACAAATGAAATAAGACTGGTGCCCAGAGGGACGAGAAAATCTGTCACAAAATTTTTCACAAAAATTGCTCTCATTTTAACAATTTTCATCCAATTTACACAAAAATTGTTTTAAAACGTGTAGAAATGATCTCTGCCGTCCAATTTTACTAAGCTGAGCATCTAAAGTTGTATAGGTATGTAATAAAATGTCAAAAGGTGGCAAAAAATGAAAAATTCTCTGGTTTCATGCCAATTTTAGAGCCTGGGATTCAAGAGGTTAAATAAATGTAAAAATAATCAAATAGTTACCCTCATAACTGGCTGCAAAGCCTACATCCCCCTTAGTGGCCTGGTTGGATCTGTATTCAAGCCACATGCGACTATCAGATGAGATCAGAGTTCCAGGGAGGTCCCCATGACCACAGAATTTACCTGGAAAAACAAAACAATGATTGCATTTATTTGACATTTGTCAAAATTCTCATTTTTCAAAAATGTCTCAACTGTTTTTTTCAAGTCATGAAAAGTCATAATATTTGAATGATTTAACTATATTTTCAACTTTACATGGGGCCTTTAAGTTGCAAGAGTGCATGTAAGAATTTGCTTGAAGTTGTTGAAGCAATATGCATAATATGGTTAAATTGTACAATGTAAATGGGTTTAAAGGGGACCCCATACAGCATTAGTCTTGTAAACAATCCCGGGAAAGAGATGCGATGTGATGTGAGATGTGAGTTTATTCATAATTCAGCGCGATGTAGGACTACTCAGTACTTTCCCACTCAAGTTTTTGCTCACAGAAAAATTAAAACATGTGTTTTGATTTTCAACTACCTATTCTGCAATAACATAGATATATTCACATATTATTCTGAAATTTTTTTCCCATATATCAATTATTGGGAAGTGTAATCATGAAAAAATATAATTCATGTGGATTTGCCTTAACAAGAATGGTCTTTTCTTCATTCAGAATTGTGGAAAATCAATTACAGTAGAACTTGTCTTAGTGGAATACCTTTGGTACTTCAAAACAGTGTTTCTCCTGGGAGATGTTCCACTACCAGAAGTTTATTTTTGAATGAGTATAACAGAACTTTCCAGTGTTCCACTTATGGAGGAGTTCCACTTGAAGAAGTGTTCCACTTAACAGGTTTTACTGTGAAATATGAAATCACTTGGGGAAACACACAATACAATCAATTGTGGTTACACAGCATTACTAATTAATGAAATTAATTAATTGGATTTAGATCATCAGTTTGAGTCCATTGATCAAACGGAATCGGGTTCACACTCCCTCACAATGTATTTGCTTCCACCATACATTCATTAACCTACCTATTCATTTTGAAGCCAAAATTTATGGACAGTTTGGTTTGGAAATAATTAGTTGGTTTAAGATGTGGTTTAAAGAGAGCATTAGAGATGTAGAGCAAATTTTTCAAAAATTAACTTAGTTTCGCAATCTTTTGGCAGTATAAGTGTTCTCCTGGTCCCTTGCCATTTCGTAAAAGTGCAAAACAATTTTAGAAAAAAGGGCATAGATTCTGGCATTTGTATGCTCATTTTCTATAATTGTGAAACCCACATCTTTATATGGGCTTTGTATAAAAAACCTCCTACCTCATACCCACCTACCTACCTACATGGAACATGATACGATCATTGAAGGGTTCAATTTTAAAGATTATTAAATCTCAAAATAGCTCAAATTATTAACATTTCTACAATTCCGGCTTTATTTTCTGACTAGACAGATGACAGATCCATATATGGATGCATTTTAATGTGTAATGACCCGAGCGCACCCCAAGGGAATAAATAACTAACGACTGTGAGCATAGGCTAAATTGCTAAATTCGATGCCCCGAGTGAGAATCGAACCCAGCTGGGATGTACTAGCAACTTGCTATCAAGGGTCGTCACAAATGCATCTATAATTCATCATAAACTAAAATTTAATAAACTAAGATCTTTAAAATTGAACCCTTCAAAGACTGTATCATGTCCTACGTACGTGGGTAGGTGGGTATGAGGTAGGAGGTTTTTTATACAAAGCCCTTTATATGGAAAAATGAACACATTTCTGAATCTTATTTCATAAATAGCCTAACCATTTGATGCAATGACATGAACCTTTTTAAGATATTTTGTTAACCTATCCTCAGGTCTTGGTCAACAATACTTTCAAGGTTTACAGTATCAGTATACAACTTTGCCAGTTGACTTCAAGAGAGGTCTACAATTGCATATTGTTTACGGTACTTCTCTTCAAACTGAATACCTTTCTGTATCTTTAATTCAATCTCCAACCTCAAATATTAGTTATTTCCCTTTCTAAAAGCATCCAGCTTAGAATCAAGCTAAACTGAGAGATTAAGATGACATTGACCTTAAGGCCACAGTTTTGCACCCATGCCAAATATTGATATGTTTTCTATTACTACGTCAACAAACAATTTAGAAGCAATTCAAATTATCCAAGTGTCTGGCATATAATTGATCCTCATTCTTTCATATCTTTTTCTTATCTTGCTAAATGAATTTCTTAAAAAGCCATCACCAGATTTCTTTAAGTGTCATAGCAACAAGTGAACAAACAATGGCCTGGTTAACATGCAAAGTAAACATACAGCTGTCATGTACATCTACCTGCCATGCAAACTAAAGAATTTGAGAGTGCATGTTAACCAAAATATTAGCCATACAGTACGAAAGGAAATATGTGAGACTAGTTAGGCAAATGGTAGAGGCTGCATCAAGCAGAGAGGGTTCTCCCTTAGGAGACAATGGGATAAAGTTGAATGTGACTTTGTAATGGTGCATCACATGGCCTTAACCTTAACATATCAACCAGACCCCGGGGGGTTCCCAAATCTGACACTTAATACCCATAAAAGCATCCATACAATGTACTTCATGCCCATAAAAGCATCCATGCTATGTACTTAATGCCCATAAAAGCATCTATACAATGTACTTATGCCAATAAAAGCATCCATACAATGTACTTAATGGCCATAAAGCATCCATACAATGGACTTAAAGCCCATAAAAGCATCTATATAATGTACTTAATGCCCATAAAAGCATCCATACAATGGACTTAATGCCCATAAAAGCATCTATACAATGTACTTAATGCCCATAAAAGTACCCATACAATGTACTTTATGCCCATAAAAGCATCCATACTATGTACTTATAATGCCCATAAAAGCATCCATACAATATACTTAATGCCCATAAAAACATCCATACAATGTACTTAATGCCCATAAAAGCATCCATACAATATACTTAATGCCCATAAAAGCATCCATACAATGAACTTAATGCCCATAAAAGCATCCATGCAATGTACTTAATGCCCGAAAAGCATCCATACTATATACTTAATGCCCATAAAAGCATACATGTATGTACTTAATGCCCATAAAAGCATCCATGTATGTACTTAATGCCCATAAAAGCATCCATACTATGTACTTAATGCCCATAAAAGCATCCATACAATGTTCCTAATGCCCATAAAAGCATCAATACAATGTTCTTAATGCCCATAAAAGCATCAATGCAATATACTTTATGCCCATAAAAGAATCAATACAATATACTTAATGCCCATAAAACATAAATACAATATACTTCAAAGATGTCTTTTCAAGCTCATAATGGTCACAAAAATACAACATGATTCGAGTAGGTAATGGCGCAGTTGAACAGAACAACCATACAATTCCATTAATATGAAGTCACAACAAGGAATTTTGAACTGGTGAAGAACTATAGTTATAAATATAACAATGTATAACATTTACATTGTCATCATATCATACAATTAGCTGGTATTGTAAACAGCCAAGACAATAGTGATAATACTGGCACTAACAGTGGCAGCTAGCCTTTTAATAAACACAAAAGATAAACAATGAATTATGGTAACATAACATGATCTCAATGTCAAACTTTGCTTTGAAACCAGCTGAAGGATTTCTGTAAAATGTAAGATGAGGTACAAGTACTGGCCGCTATCATCTCTGGACCTGACATTGACACATTATTTTTATAACATGATTCCACAGTCAAGTCATAAACTAGGAGGGTTCCCCCTCCCCCTGGGCTAAAACTTTTTCAAAATAATGCAGTTTTCACCATTCTGAGCACTTTTTAAGTGATTGTCAAAACTGAACCTTTCCTTGATCTTTTTAAAAAGTGAACCCCCTTTGCAAAAGCTGGCTTTAGGCCTGCAAGCAGAAATGAGATATCTCCAACTCCAGGCTTCATTTTTGTAATTATTATTAGGAAATACTCTGATCTCTGATAACTTATTATTATTAAGAAAGATTGGATTATTTCCAAAACAAATATTAACTTCCTCTATTTCCTTTGAAACCATAGATCATGTCTGGTTTGTTCAATTTTAATTGTAGACAATTCAGAAACATGCATAGTCTCACCATCCACCATTTGTTACAGACACCAAACAACAGCCACTGAACGCCCAACTGCCAAACACCAACCATAAAATAGTTGGAGACTATAACAATATGTCACCACTTATGGAGGTTACATGATTTTCAAAATGGGTTCTGGCTTTTTCGCTCTTTTGAAAGAGCTGGGGTACAGAATTTGCAATTATTTGGGACAAAGCTACTACATGTAAAAGATATAGGCCCATAAAAACATAAGGAATTAGCCAATAAACATAAGAAATTACATTTTGTGAAGGGGGTTAGTCAACCTATAGTGAATCAGTGATATTTTTCGAAGAATGCAACTTGAAGAGAAGCCATAAATACTCAATAAAATTTACCAGGGGGTGGGAGTATGGGTCAAGCAGAAATGTTAGCAAATCAAATTCTAGGAGAACATCAAAATACTGATCTGGTCCCTTATCTTATACATTAAAACCTGTCTAAGTGGTTCACGTTTGGTACCTCTAAAAAGTGTTCCACTTGAGAGGTGTTCCACTTACAGAGATTCATTTAACATTAAGTCAATTGGTCTTGTTCCACTAACAAAGATGTTCCACCTCTACAGGTATTCCATTTCAAGGTTTTCCTGTACATCTGAATTATAACATTACAAAACCACAAAACTTAAAAATGTTAAACTTAATTTTTGTAATCGAAGAATTCTTCAATGAATTAAAACAAAATAAAATCAGTAATGTAGTAGCTTCAATACTATGATAAAAAAGCATATCTAAAATTATAAAGTACTTAATCCCATGTACTTGTCGTCTCTACTTTATATTGTTCTTTCTATTTGGTACTTTTTATTGCAGAGTTTAACTAATTTAGTGCCCCACACATAATTTTGTAACAAATTTTGAATGAAAATTTACTACTTTAGTACTTTCTAATAACACAACTTTTTTCTATACTTTGTACACTCCTTTACTGAACATAAACATTATACACCCACACTGTAATGAATATGTTATAGTTAATCATATGGAAGTTAAGGTAACTCCCAATGTACAGTAAAACCTGTATATCTGAACACCTGGCTAATCCGAACACCTTCCAATTTGAACACTTTTTTTCGGTCCCATTTTTTCCTCCCATTGACTCCCATGTTAAAAAAACCTTGAAATCTGAACACCTCCTAATCTGAACAGTGAACAACCAGATTTGAAAAACTGACCTGTCTAATCTGAACATTTTATCAGAAATCAAATGTCTGGACATTTCAATTAAAGCCACATATTGAGTCAATGTTATAGTTTTTATTTATCTTTACATATGCAATGTAATCAAAGAACCAATATTGTCCTAATTAACTTATTTAAGTCTCAATGACATCCCTAATTGTGGAGAACAACAGGATGATTTGGAAAGGTGTGAATACAGGAGTTAATTTGTTTATCCTATTAGAAAAGAACTGAATGTTTTATGTTTGGATTAAGAGAAAGGTGAGAATCTGGGAGATAATTGGTTTAGCCTTATTTAAAATTAACTGGATGTTTTTGATTTGGATTATGAACAAGTCTGTTTTATATCCCATGGGTCTGTTATGATAGCTAGGATTCAATCAGTAAATGTTTTATAATCACAGAGACAACACAGACACATTTGCAGACAAGATTATAATTGTTTTATCATTATTATTAGATATTACCTGGATGTTTTTGATTTGGATTATGAACAAGTCTTAACTGTTTTATATCCCATGGGTCTGTTATGATAGCTAGGATTCAATCAGTAAATGTTTTATAATCACAGAGACAACACAGACACATTTGCAGACAAGATTATAATTGTTTTATCATTATTATTAGAAATTACCTGGATGTTTTTGATTTGGATTAAGAGAAAGGTGTGAATCAAGAAGATAATTGGTTTATCCTTATTTTAAATTAACTGGATGTTTTTGATTGGGATTATGAACAAGTCTTAACTGTTTTATATCCCATGGGTCTGTTATGATAGCTAGGATTCAATCAGTAAATGTTTTATAATCACAAAGACAACACAGACACATCTGCAGACAAGATTATATCATGAGAAAGAGAAAAAATTCAACTTCGTAATATCCTATCACTAAAATGCCTCCTAAAAAGGCACATCTGACATCCTGAATGCCCTTGATATTTTGAAAGATTATGCATCATCTTGAATGAGCACTCGTGAAAAATTAATTGAAGAGGGTATCTACTCAAATATTGCTAATGCCAACAACAATGAATGACTTTTTCAAGCTAAAGTAAAGCAGTGCTATGTAACCATAATATGAGATAAGTCATTTAATAAGCATAAGATTTCGTACAAGACTATCATATACTTATTCAGTGTATTACAAAGTTTTTGCCAAAATTAAAGAGTTATTTTTCCAAAAATAATGAAATTGTTCAAAATGTAAATAAAACATAGCATATACATGTAGGCTATAGGCCTATTGTAGAATAAACTCATCAACAACATGTATTGTTTTCTGATTAAGTATTAAGTGTTCAATATAGTGGACTGAACAATGAAAATCCCCCCCCCCCCGACCAACAATATCCTCGAAATTTGAACACCTGCCAATTTGAACGCTTTTGGCTGGTCCCATGGGTGTTCGGATTAGACAGGTTTTAAAAGGCTCTGATTGGGTTATTCTTTATCACTTTTATGTATGCATTTAAAGGGTGGGGCTTGATTCGTGGGTGGGGCCTGATCTATTATGGTTAAAGAACAAATAATGATTCAGAAAGAGGTGTGTAAAATGAAGATTACATACATTAAGTGCAGCTATTTTACATAAATGGGAGTTTACACCCTTCCTGTTGATCTCATTTATCTACAATTTGTTTTTTTATTGTTCACTTTTATTTCGACCAATCATTAGGTAAATACAACACCAAAAATTGCCAAGGTCAACAATTTTGCTAATCTACAAGTGACCTGTTTATATATTGTAACTCTAATCCATTGAAATCAAACTCTATATTTTTCATGATTTAACCTCATAAGACAAATAATGTCATCGCTGAATCCAGGAAGACAAACTATTGCAAAAACAGTGGAAAAAAACACTGTAAAGTTGTTGCACTTATATAGGTTTTACATTAACAACGATGCTTTGAGACGAAATTAAAAAATACATTTTTCACTCACCAAGTAAATTTGATTTAAGCCAATGACCATCTCGAACTTCTAGATAATTTTCCCGACAGTCTGTTGTTTCTGGAATTTGAAGATCTGTTATGTTCAGCACAATCTTTTCTCCGTGAGTGGCTGATATTCTCCACTGACAAAGCTTAGCATCAATTTTTTCAGCTTTTTCGCCAAACTTTGGCGAGTTAAACTTTCCTGCTGAACCCTGGAGTGTTCGACCACAAGCTGAAAACAAAGTTACATCACTGATATAGAAATAATGTTATATCAATGAGGCCTAGAAAAAAAGTAATATCAATGAGGCATAGTGTTACATCAATGAGGCCTAGTGTTACATCAATGAGGCCTAGACATAACATAATATCAATGAGGCCTAGAAATGATGTTATATCAATGAGGCCTAGAAATAAAGTAATATCAATAAGGCCTAAAAATGATGTTATATCAATGAGGCCTAGAAATGATGTTATATCAATGAGGCCTAGAATTTAAGTTATATCATTGAGGCAAAAGTCATTCTCTGTTAAAATATTGTCTTCAGGAATTAACTTCAAACATATTTATTGGAGACAAAAAATCAGCAAACTCAAATCAGCAGTGGATTCAGTTTGTTTTACAGAAAATGAAACCAAAATGATTCTTACTGGGGCATTTATAGAGAAGGTTAGCCTGTGTGATATCACCAGTGCTAAGTTTATCCCTCTGTCCAATTTCTGGTCTCGTATACTGTCCCTCCTTCAGTTTTGGCAAGATTGTGTCAACGTAATTCCCGCGGGAAAAGGTGTTGCGAGCGTAATGCATAATGCTCTCATAATCGTAAGTTTGACCGAGGGAATTCACCTCATTCTCAGATAGCATATTGAAGTTGTAATCCTGACCTGGAAAAAATATTTTTTTTTTTATTAAGGTATATTTATTTCTTACAAAAATAATAATGTAAATCCTTTCAATCCTCAATGGCTTGACCATAGCAAAAAAGAAACATCTAAGTGAGCAACAAATCATTAGGAAAACAAACCCCAATATCATAAACTATGATCTAACCTAACTCTCATGGAGAGGAGGATTAATTAGTTGTTAATCAATTATATTTTATTGCTGATATCAGTTCCGCATCCCTTACTTTTGCCCACCCAAGAAAGGGCTAAAGAAATAATCAAGAACCAAAGAACCTTAAAGGAATGCTGGGATTGTTTGTGTTTTACGCAGATAATTGTCTTCTTATTCCAAAAAAATTTTCTTCTCAATGTGAAGAAAACAAATGAGCAGCCTAGCAGGAAAACATTCACCAACTAGAAATGATTATAAAAATTAAAGAGAGCCAACATAAGAAAAACATATCAAGTTTGATTATCCAAATATGAATAAGTTATTCAGGCCCCTAAAGGTATCAATAATAAAAATGCAACATATCCCTTAAATCCCCAAAAAATCGTTAACACTTCAGAATAATATTAGAAAAAATTTAGAATAATTTCTCACACGAATAGCGAATAAACCCACATAAAAATCAAAAGTCTAAAAGCCAAAAAGATGAATTATCTTACTTAAAATTAGCACATGAAACAATCTAAATCCTACGGACCAGACATAACATATCGAATTAATGTAAAAGGTGTGTTTCTACAGAAGTGCTATTGAACAGAAAGATCATGTGAATGATTGGGCTTTCACCACAGCATTGGAAATACAGTTAACCTGTGAAAGTTGAACAGCCTTGGTTCAGTGGTTGAGGAGGTATTCCACTTGAATTCAGCATGGCATAGGACTGTAAACGTTTTTCACTTACAGAACTGTTCCACTTGAAGTCAGCATGGCATGGGAATGTGACAACTGTTCCACTTACAGTGAACATGTCATGGAACTGTGAAACATTTTTCACTTACAGAAGTGTTCTACTGGAAGTGAACATGTCATGAGACTGTAAAAACTGTTCCACTTACAGAGATGAACACCTTACAGAGGTGTTCCACTTGAAGTCAACATGTCATGAGACTGTAAAAACTGTTCCACTTACAGAGGTGAACACCTTACAGAGGTGTTCCACTTGAAGTCAACATGTCATGAGACTGTAAAAACTGTTCCACTTACAGAGGTGAACACCTTACAGAGGTGTTCCACTTGAAGTCAACATGTCAGGAGACAGTGAAAACTGTTCCACTTACAGAGGTGAACACCTTACAGAGGTGTTCCACTTGAAGTCAACATGTCATGGGACTATGAAAACTGTTCCACTTACAGAGGTGAACACCTTACAGAGGTGTTCCACTTGAAGTCAACATGTCATGGGACTATGAAAACTGTTCCACTTACAGAGGTGAACACCTTACAGAGGCATCCACTAAACAGGTTTCCCTGCATTACCTAAACATGCCCCCTGTAGTCTAAATAAACCAGGAATCATCCATCAACATACATAGCACATCCAGTACACCAGGTATACATCTCTAATTAAGCTAACCCTTATGGGACTCAAGCTTGCAAGAAAATCAAAAATGTTTATTTTTATACCTGGATGTGTTTATTTTGATTCTAAAGTGTTTATTTACATAATTTGGACCAACATGTCAAGGAAATAAATATGATGTATCTAGCTAATGATTTTGGAGGAGGCATTGATTACTCTGTGTGGCAGATATTGAGTAGAAAATAAATGGAAAATAAATTGGGGCTTTTTCGGTTTCATATATTTTGAATTAGAAAGGGCATTACTAATGTGAAATAAAGTAAGACTTTGGGAGTTTGCATAAATTTTAGTAGGTGCCATCATTAAATGGAAAATAAATTGGGCCTTTGGGAGTTAGCTTCTCATATATTCTATTTTCAAATGAACATTCACATAACTATAAATAAGATTTAAATCCAGAAAAAAACTGTCTGTGGAATCTTAACCACAACAGACCATTTAGAATAATGTCAGGGCGACCATATTTTAAAATAGAAAATGGGATAAAAATTAGACAAATCAGTTATAAATCAACCAAACAGGCATCTCACAAACAATTAAACAGAAAACCTAGAAAATCTGGCAGTCCATTCAGATTCTGGAGAAAAAAGTTGTGAAGTAAGCATGACGAAAGAGAAAATCAAGGTAGTCAAGGAAGATGATAAATAAGTTAATTCTAAGTAGGGTGGTAAAACATTACCCTGCAAACATCAATTATTACATTACAAATAGCCTCTGATTTAGGAAGCCCATTTTATACCATACCATTCTACCTATCAGAAGACAAAGAAGAACCACACTGATATGAATATAACATACAAAAATTATCCATTTTGAGGAATGAGAGACTCCGATTGGCTCAGCAAAGCCAGCAGAGTTTCTCAGTAGTGTAAAGAGGGCTAGACAAATTTGACCACACTGGAAGAGGGTAGAAAAAACTAGGAAAAACAATCATCTGCAAGATATCAGAACTGATCTGGCTTGTAAAAATATTATGAAAGGACTATTTACATAGGCAAAGCACATAGATTACATTACTAAGTAGTACTGATATAACTTATCTTGTAAAGGCCTTTGGGCATCACTTATATAAAAACTTTTCTGAGATTGTGAATTGGCAGATGAAAAGATGAGCTCTGTGATATTTGTACCATGCATTAATGCAATTAGAGACAGAGATACCTTTGAAGGAAATTACCTTATCCTGTGGCATAAAAATCGTTCTAAGATAATGATCGATATACTTCAAAAATGTTCCTTAATTGGTTGACGGTGATCTATTGGCTGATACGTCAAAAGATTTTATGATTGGTTTGCAGATTTTCTCTTTTTCTCACATTGAAAAGTTGTTCATTACGCCGTAATTAGGTGTTATCTTAAGTTCAAATGCTATCTATAATTCAGGCTGAATTAATTGAATTGTATAATTCTTGACTAATTAGTTATAGGAATTTGTGTTTATTTTTTTTTATTTTTGCCATGTGAGCAATTTCATAGTTCATAGATAACAAGGTTGTATCTTAAAAAGCTTTTTCTTTAATTTAAACAAGGCATTAACATGCAAAATGTCACCACTTGCCATTTGTTACAGACATCAAACACCAACTGCCAAACACAGACTGCCAAACATCAACCACCAACTGCGGAACACCACAAGAAGTTGGAGACTATAATATGTCACAACTTGTGGTGATGACATAAAAAACAAAGGAAATTCCATTTTTAATATTATCGCTTTTTATGAAAAATAAAGAGAAAAGTATTTCATTATTCTTGACTGATATACATGTATTAAATGGCTTATTGTATCCATATCAGATACAACATGTGTTTCTATCAAAATAATTTCATTTCATTTAGGTTTAAATAGGACTTCTCCAAGGGGCAACTAAGGTATTATACATGTCCTTTCGTTCCCTCACAAACACTATAGAACTTCTTGATAGTACTATGTTGTGAAATAATGAATGTAACCATACAAAATTTTTCTTTTTATGGGAGTATGGCCAACGTGACATTTCAGAATTTGGAGAAAAAGCTTAGTGAATATGAATGATGAATGTAAAACTGGACATTTTAGGATTTTACTCATAAGTTTTGCAGCTGTACGTTCACCTGGTCAAATCATTCATTGAGCTTAAAGAAAAGCAGGGTGGTCATTTTAAGTGTATATATCAAATTGTATATAATTTAAAAAAAAGTATATCATTGCACACCCTGCTATATAAAGATGTGTGTGCATGTCCTTATGTGGCCACTGTAAATCTAAGGACGATACTTCAAAGGACAAAGTACTTCTTAGGACTGTATCTCTTTAGGACTGTATATCTAAGGACTGTATTTCAAAGGATAAGGAACTTCTTATGACTGTTTCTCTTTAGGACTGTAAATATAAGGACTGTATTTCAAAGGACAAAGTACTTCATATGACTGTATCTCTTTAGGACTAAATCTAAGGACTGTATTTCAAAGGACATACTACTTCTTAGGACTGTATCTCTTTACTCGAAAGATGTTCCACCTGGTGGGTCATATGGCTCTAGTTAATCTGACAGACAGACACCTGGCCTGCTAGCTTATTAAGAGGAAGAACTAAAACAAACATTATTACCACTTTCTCATTTACTACATGGAGGTTACTACAAGATTCTGATATTTTCTAACTTTGGTATGCTATGTGTAATGTACTCCTTGATTCATTTACTAATTCATGAACTAATTTTCATACTTTCCGAAAACATAAATGGCAATTGTGGTTTTGGTGATGGATCTATCTATTGACATGCCTACAAACTTTGAGACTGGATTTTTCCTGTCCCACATCATATGAGACTAGTGATTCATATTAGGGAGGTGGACAAACAGTGCTACCATACATGCTTAAGAGAATTTATTTGTGAAGATGTAGAATTATGGACCTCTATTTTGTCTCCCCTTCAAAGTTTGCCCTATAAAATGTATTGTAATGCCTTTAGTATGAATGAAATGTCCTGCCATTGTCTTTTGGTTTTGGATTGTGAGAATGTTTCCAGAATGTATGGGTGGTTGAGTAGAGTGCAACAGGTGCTTGTTTTTTGTGTGTTAGATCATATTTTGGGATATTTGGGTTGGTTCTTGCTTATGACTAATTATGCTCTTTATAAAATTCATGCTCTTTGGTCTTTTCCCTTTTGGCAGCTGCGCTTATTTACATATGTTAAATTAACACATGCAAGTCAGACTTTCCTTTTACACCTATAATGGGTTCAAGATGAATCTACTGATTTTAGATTATGGTAAACTAAAGCTTTTTATAAAATTGCCACCCAAATTCAATAACCCTGGGGATTGATTTTGGTACTAGCATACAATTCAGAGGAAACATTGTCTACTTTTTGATGAACAATGACTTGCGACCAAATTGTACAGTGTAAGTACCACACAGTACCAAAACATACTCCTAATTCATAGAGGAACAGGGTAGTTGGTAAGATTAATTCTCTCTTAAGGATGCGAATTAAAATCTAGAAAAGGGTAGAATTCAAAGGATTCCATCTCTACTTACCAGGCATGATGTTTTTATAGATGATATCCACGTGTTGTTCACGATCGGGACGTGTGTGTTCATGCCAGAAACCGATTACATGACCTAATTCGTGGACCACAATGCCAAATTTATCACAGTTCTTGCCGATGGATATTGCTTGCGGGCCATTTCCACTTTTTCCAACAAAGGAACAGCATCTGGAAATAGATCATTTTCACACTCATTGAGCCATATATTGTACCATCAATGTTATAGTCATTGATTGCAGCAAATATTGTACCATCAATGTAATAGTCATTGATTGCAGCAAATATTGTACCATCAATGTTAATAGTCATTGATTGCAGCAAATATTGTAACATCAATGTAATAGTCATTGAGATCATTTTCATAGTCATTGAGCAAATATTGTTACACCAATGTAATAGTCATTGAAATCATTTTCATAGTCATTTGAGCAAATATTGTAACATCAATAATAGTCATTGAGTTGCATCATCATTTAGTCATTGAGTCACCAATGGTTTATGATCTTTTCAAGTCATTGAACTGTAAATATTGTTGCATGATTATCATTCTTATATGTCTATGGGTCTCCATACTTTTCATTGCGTGGCACATTTTCTATGGTATTTCAGTTATTCTGTGTTTTCTAGTTATTTACAAAAGAGCAGGGCAATGTGGTTCTGAACATATGTGATGCATTACATTTTAAGAAGTTTGTTTAAGACTTTGTAAGGGTATCATACACCTTGACACCTCAATAAATGTACAAAATAAATGATTAGTTATTTTTTAAGCTGGTCTTTCAGTGCACATCTCAACTAAGCCTGTTTGAAATATATATGCCTCTTCCTTACATAATTTATTAAAGTAGGCCAGTTAAGAAAATATCACAAGGGTTATGTTTGAAATGCAAAATAGAGTGAAAAGAGTGGAATTATCAAGGAATAAAATATACAGGCATGTAATTGACACTCTAAATGGTATGGAAATGCAAGAAAATCAGACACTTTATTCAAATTTTGCATAGAAATATTGGGAAATAAGTTGAGCAGATGGGTATTTTTTAAAATGGAAGTATACTGGAGCAAGGTCAATTTGGTTGTAGTAAGGTTGATGTTGTAAACATTGATGAATAAATCCTAGACTCACTTCTACTCAAAACCACAGAAAACATTAATTTTGTTCTGAACCTTGCATGAAAACATTGCATAAATTGTAAGACTGTGGGCTTCATGGAATGAATAAATTGGAACTGCTCTGATATTACTGAAATAGTATGGTATTTATCTGTTCAACATGCAATTTATTGAACATCCCTCCGATATTTAAGAAATATGCACAAAACAGTAAAAATAGCAAAAAGGGTAATAAAGGTAATAAGTCAAAATGCATCTGTAGATGATATAAGGAAATAGTTTAAAATGCCAGACTGACAGTTTTACCACTCATATAGCTGAATGTACATGTAATCTGGGATTAACATACTGTACAAAATCTTTTAGTAAATTAGTAACAGAAATATTTTACCCAGGCCAAAAAGTAATGGTTCTTATCCAACCATCTGTTTTTCACTTAGTTGCTGATAGAGCACATCCACAAATTGGTTACTCAGTGGGTCATTTGTATGTTTGTTTACAAACTTATGTCAAAACTTTTTAGTCACCCCACTAAAATGTAAACTAATGAAGAGTGAAAAATGATGACTTTACCAAACCAGGATATTGCTAATTAAAGTCTCTGTTTTAGTAATATAAAGTCAGCTTTGCTATTTTTCAAGTCATGAGGAGATCAGGTGAGATTGTTACAAAATGCATTTATCCAATCAGCTGAGAAGGGATCCAGAATGTCCAAGCCTGTGACATTTTAGATGAAACTCCCCATTAAAGAAGAAAAATGTAACTATTGGAAAGGTAAGGGTTCTTAATCATTATCTCATATAGCCACTATGTAGACTACTAAGTAGCTGGATACAGTTCATGGAGTAATTCAAAAATGAACTCAAAAGAAAAGAAAATCAGAAAATTAGAACACAAAAGACATCTAAATCCGCTTCTTTTAAAAATAATTTCCATTTTAAATGTCTAGCCTTAAAAAATATTCCCATGTTGCATCATGCTTGTTCACCAAAGGAAAACTTACCCACAAGGCCTCTCTGTGAACAGAATATAGTTGTAGTCCTGAGGTGTTCTTTCAACAAATGTAATGCATGTGTAGTTCTCCCATTCTCTCATTGCCTGCTTGAAGAGTGCTTTATTTGCCCCTGAAAAAATAAATTAACATCTTCAGTTCAATGTGCATTGATACTTGGATAGGATACAATGTTGGGAGGTTGTGGGTTCAATTCTCACCAAAGTTGACACTTTTTCACATGCATCAGCCCTCTTAGCATAGGAGATGATCCTGTGTTTTAAATTAAGTGACAAATATATTATATACAGGCCCGTAGCCAGGGGGGGAGGGTTCGCAGGGTTCGGACGAACCCCCCCCCCAAAAAAAAACCAACAACAACAACAACATTATTTCAAAATCGTGCAGTTTTTCACCATTTTGAGCACTTCTCAATTGATTTTAGCCATATTTGGGCCCAAATTGTCAAATGTGAACCCCCCTGGAAATATTTGAAAAATGACCCCCCCCTTGGCAAATCCTGGCTACGGGCCTGATATACATTATACTTAGGGCAGTTTGTTTTGCGAAGGCATATAAAATAAACACTGTGGCTTGCTCTATTCACTGGAACATAAATTTCTTATTTTGTTTCATTTGTTTATTGTTTGTGGGGCCTGAATGGTTAATTTTGTTTTCTTAAATACTGCCCTTCATGCTTTTTCAACAAACAGATAAAGTACAGTTGGACCATAGAAACTGATTATCTAATGCTGCTAAGTGAAAGCGTCAAAAGGTGTGTACTTTATTAGGCCAGTAAACAAGTTCAATCCCTAAGGAATGGTATAATCCTGCACATAAAATATTGTATTGCTCATGCTTATTTCACTCAATATTGCTCTAATATTTGAGGAAACAACCCAATTTTCTAGCATTTTTCACAATATCGACAGCACACTTATATGTATATTTAATCCCTTGCCAATTTCATTCTTTTCCACTCTATTTTGCATTTAAAAAATGAGCCTGATTGATTGTTCTCCAGGGTATTTATTCCTACCAGTCAGGTTTAATTGACTATTATATAATCAATTACCTGCTCATTTAGATTGTAACTGACAGCTCTTATTCATATCTTCACTTATCAGGAAAAGCGATTATAACATTGGAGATTTCTGGTTGTGATATTCTAAGAGCTGGTCAAGATTTTCAGAGTAAAATACCACAAGGGGGGGGGGTGCATGTTTTAAATTCAACAATGAGAAGTGAAATTAGCGAGGAATATGGTAAACACATTCTGATATATCAGAGTCCCTCGGTTATAATGAAAACACGCGCTACGCGCTAACGCGCCACGCGCCAATGCGCTAATAGAAAATGATCCTTCCCCCACGATGTGTGCGCATGTTTTAAGCGCATGTTTATGATTGGTCTATACCCTTGGCCCAGGGACATGTATAATTAGGGTTATGACTCCCTGGGAACTTGTCAAAAGATTGACACTTCAAAGACTGTATAAATCACCGCTAACCTGTCAATCAGACTTTGATGTGAACTTTGCGGCCGCAGGAAATAAACAAAGCCTCTCGAAAATTACACTTTTTAAGTTACGATTTCTTTAAAAATATAAGACCAATTAAGATGTTCTTCACACCGTTAAAAAACAGAATTCAACTTCAATTTAGGAAATAATTCCAAAACTAAATGAACGTGTACTTTTCTCTGTATTTGACCTGAAAGAACATGAGTAACTTAGAATTAATAAATATTTACGGCCAATAACCGGACAATGATAAAACACGCTGGTCGGGTTTACATTACTTTTTAAATCGTCTCTTATTTAAAACTTTAATTCCAAATGAAATACAACCCTGTTTTCAACAATATTAGTAGATAGAAAACTGAGGGCATCAGAACGCCACGGGCCGCCACGGGCCCGGGGCTTTCAAAATCTCTGAAGATGAGCAGGAGATATTGATGAGCAGGAGATAAATTAATTGAATGGGGATTAGGAGATAAATTAATTGGATGGGGCTTTCATCTTAAATGGGTGAGAGATAAGATACGCATGACATCATTGTTATCTTAAATGGGTGAGAGATAAGATGCGCATGACATCATTGTTATCTAAATGGGTGAGGACTGAATTTTAAAATGGAAGCATAACAAATCAATAACACAACATTTTTGTTTGATATATACATTATATCCAATCTTAAATTTATTTTACAATTTTCTTTACAATTGATGTAATATTAACATTTTTAAGGTAGAAATGATAGATTCTACTACAAAATCCATGTTATTAGACACACTGAAAGTGTTTACAATTTCATCTAAACTATACCCTAAAGTTCTCAATAATATATACATGATACAATATTGTCCACAATTTGAACTGTTCAAACCTTGAACACGAATGGGATTTACAAACATTGCATCTCCATATTCTTTTAATCCATAAAATGTTTCTGTATGACCTAAGGGGTCAAAAAATTCAATTTGTGAATCTCTATAATAACATACCCAATGTTGCCCCATTTCATAGTGAGGTCTAGTATTTGCTATAAAACATTTTTTATCCATGATAATAGATGGTAATTGATCACTTGCAAATACTCCTAGAAATCTATGCTTAGTATCTGGATGATTTGATAAAATAAAACTTATATCTTGTGAATTCATATTAGTACTGAATAATATTGCGGGATGCGTCAACCTCAAATTTTCCCGGAAATGTTGCCATTAAAATAATGTTTAATGATTCAGGTGTTGCCTCAGAAAAATGAATGTCAAGTTTTACATTTCCCTTTTTAAACAATGGAAGAATTTCACCATTTGAATATGTGTCTTTATAGCCTATATCAAACTTAAAGATACAAAAACCAGATTTAAAATCATCTATGCTTATATTTAACCCATCATTGTGTTCAAGATCTGAAAACAATTGTGTAAACTCATGAACATATTTGTCTTGTGAATCATTTGAGCCAAACTTAGGTTGAAATGCTCTAAATGGAGTAGGGACATTATCTACTGAAATTTCAACATATGAAGTGTTTGCATGAATGAAATTGTAAGGATTAAGTTTATAGTTTCCTTGATATGCTGCATTTTTCACAATGACACAATACAATCGTGTAGGTACACGTCCTTGAAATAAATCATCTTGATTAAAAGAATATATATTACTAGGTAATGAGAGTACTTTCATTTCATTTCTATCATAAGTATATACAGCATTTCTCTCCTGTAATTCAGTATTATATGCTTGTAAAATACCATTTGAAACTGTAATCATTGGAACTTCTAAATGTACATCTAAAAGTTTGACTTTATATTGTTCATTTGAATCAGTCATAAGTCTAAAACTGTTTTTTGTATGATTTAGTTTTATCTTCACTTCAACACCATTAATGAGGTATTTGTTGATGCTGAAGATATCTTCATGGAATTTACATTTCATATCAACTACTTTTCCACCTTGAGTTTTCACAAATCTTTGTGTTAGTCCCATGTTGTTAGAGCCTTGTCCCAGAGGTTTTGTTGCATCCATTCCATTAGGTGGATATATCCCATTGTCCATATAAAACAGACATGCCGTACCTTCAGATTCTAATTTTCCTTTACTAGATGTTAACAATGTTTTCAACATACTTTTATAAGGATAGTTTAAGACAGATGATGCCATGTTATTTTGTTGTAATGATATCTCAACCTCACTCCATAAAGAATGAATCCAATTATTTATTGGTCCATATGAATCATAATCTGTCAAATCCACATATTTCGGTAATGAATTATCTGCTTTCAATACCTGCGCTTTGACAGATAGCTTTACATTTTGAAGATCTATAAACTGTGAAGTGTTGTTTGGTAAGATGAACTCTATTGGAGACTCACTGTCTATTGGATTGATAGGTCTGTACTCAACATAGTTCCTTCTAACAACACTACTTTCTGTTGGAGGTGTGTTAAATAACTGTAATTTCCCATTCATTACATCAGCACTGTTCATGAGTTTATATGCCATTTTTAAATATTTGAGTTGAATTTACTTTTTTCTTTTCTGTGATGTCTTTGTTGACCTACGTTTGTATTCCTTTGGAGATTTCTTATTGACTGAAGACTTACTATTGCGTTTGCTTTTATATACACGTTTTTTCTTTCTAATTGTATCACGTGACTCGTTTGACTCGTGTGACTCGTTTGAGTGCTGTCTTTTAAGTGTAGCTTTTGCTCTCTCAACGACAGCTTGCATTGGAGATATTATTTGTTTCGGTTCATCTTTAATATCATCTTCACTTATCCAACCTCTTCCTGTTTGAGATACTTTCAATCTATTCTGTCTACCAGCTCTAATAAGTTTCAACCAGTGTTCTGGTCTGTCTACATATGGTACTAATTTCATGATACTTGTTTCAAATGAAGTGTACACGTCAAAGGTTTGTCTTTAAATGACACATGTGTGTTACCATTTCCTCTTATATAGACATGTATGCGATCAAACTCCCAATTCCCGACATCCTTGTATAATACTTGATTAAAACTCAACCAAGAATAATCCTTTGGAATACGCCTTAAGATTGGTTGTACATTTCCATCAACAACACTTTCTATGCATAAATCACAAAACACATCTAAATACAATAATGCATCATTTGAATCCAATGGTGGTAACTGTATGTCAACAAGTCCTATTTTCCATTTTCCTTTAAGATAAAAGTATCTTGGTAACTTTACAGTAAACTCTGATGCTGTATTATTGGGATAAATATTGGTTGAATCAGTGCTACTTAAATAAAAATAGATGTCTTTATCCATTGTTTAAACTGATGTACTAAAGTCTGTGTCACTATTTGATTTTTGTATTATCTCATATAACTTTGCAAACTTTGTTATATTATAGTTCTCATGCTTTTGTTTTTTCAGATAATAAAACATCAATATCATAAATGAAACACTTGTAGATCCAATTGCTAAATTACTAATTGATATTTCTTCAATTGCTAATATATTTGAAGGTGTTGAAGCACTTATTCGTGCTAATGATGTTGCATTTTCTTCTGCCAAGAGCACTTTAAAAATATGTACTAATATACAGTAGAACCTCACACTTTGATACTTCATTGCTAAATAACAAAAATGAGATGT